AGAAAAGTCTCTAAGACTGGTAAGTTCTTGTAAGTATCTCAAAACAATATATGCATAAATAGAAACGCAACACTAGATAAACAAAAAACCTTTTCATACTGGCATGTCCACAAGGACTCCCTCACTACAGCTCATATATTCCAGACCATCTATTTGGAATATATTTGGAATACCAGAACCTAATTTTTCCCCTTAGTCCTATGAAGACTCAAAGTCCCTGAGATCTGTGCAAACACAGAGTAATGGCAGAGCAATGTACACAAATGGCTATCACCTGTCAGATAAGGTGATGGGTTTCAAGATCAAAGCATCCCTTTTTAGAGGCCTTTGGACTGGGAAATAGGGCAGCATCCTCTGGAAGATATGGATCAAGTATAGTTTACTGTTGGAAGTAAATATAGTTTGTTCCTTAATACAGCATGAGTAATTTCCCAGAGGTCAGGCTAGAGTTAGGATTAGGTCTGAAACCCTGGCACATATAATTGTACAACTTGAACTGGGGACCTTGCATTTTTCCTCCTCTTCACTAATATCCAAAACATAACAGAAATTCAGGCAGAATTAATTCCTATTTAGAGATTCAGCTTATATATATAAGCTTATAATATGTATATATATATTATTTTTATTTTTTTTCCACAGCATATGGGGAAACACCATCTTTTGAACTTCTTTATTCTACTTGGGTACCTCAGGGTCAAGGAGGTCAACAGGCTGGAGGGGACCTGCTGACAGAAGCCGTCCCCTGCCCTGCCTCATTTCTCAGCACGGAACATATGCAATCCCATTGCTAGCAAGCTTGCTCTAATTTTATCCTGCAGTGCTTCCCCAGGGGACAAAGCCAGTGCTGCCAAATGCACAGTTGGGCACACTGCTCCAGCTCTCAAATGAAGGGTTCATTTTTTAAGATACTAAACAGGATTTGGATTTGTTACTGGGTCACCTACATTTGAGTACAGTAAGAAACTTTGCATATATTTTTGTTGCCAAAAGTTGTGAGACCACAAGGATGAGAATTTATTTGTTTGCTTACAGTCACGATGTATCACATCTACTGTCAGTCAACGTCCTGTTGACATGCACTTATCTTGACAGCTTGGTCTAAAGTTTCCACTTCATGTGCACAAAGAGCAGCAAGAGAAAACATGAATCCCCTCAGAGATTAAAAATGATGACCAGATGGAGTTAATTTGCACCCCAGAAAGCATTATTTGGGGGTAGACCCCTACAGTAGCATATTCAGTTATTTCCATCTTCCCATGACATCAGTCACTCCTTCTGCCAGCTCTCTGAAGTGTTCTTTCCTAAGACAGCAGAAGAGGGAAGGCCAGGAGAGGAAGAGAGACAGAAACACACAACAAAGGACAATTACTTTCCAATTACACACAACAAAGGACAATTCTCAACATCTCAACATCTTCCTGCTTTTATCCCTAATCCTTCTTTCAGAGAAAACAGCAATAACAACAAAAAGCCCACTTCTGTACTGTAGAAAATATTGCTTCATTTATTATTTCTCCAAATTCCATCTCGAAACGGGCCAGACAGCACATGAAAAGAATTTGGTTCACTTTGCCACTTTGCCTCTGCTATGCAGATCCACAAGGAAACTCTATTTTCCTAGGAACGATGTGAGAATAGAAGATTACAAGAAAAACTACTGACGGGGTATCCTCTTTAATTCCCTCTGGATTTATACAATCACTTCAGTGAGAATAAAACCAAAAGCAAAAGTAAATCACTAAAAGGAAAATGTGGTGACTGTATGTATTAATGCACTTTGGGAAACAGGAACAGAAGTGTGTCTCCAAAAACGGTTATCATGTGAAATCTTTTGTCCCAACAAAGCCTAGGGAACTCAGATCCCTCTTTCCAGGAATTATCTTTAATCAAAATAGAAACAGTCTCCCAGTCAATGTACATTGCTGGAAAAATCAATAGATGCCTGCACAGAGAAAGACAGCCCCATGTCTGAGGGTGCAACTGTTGTGACTACACAGGTGACAGAAGTGAGAATAGCCAAAGGGGTCCAGTATATAGGTGGCTCGGAGGGCAGACAGAATGGCTTCAGTGATAAAATCCCTCTTTCGGGCATCGCAAACATCAACCTTCTGATGTACTTCCTGAAGCGTCCGCACCTCTTGGAATCCATGACTCTCCTGCAGCCTTCTCTGTGGAGCAACTGCCCTCCTGCCCAGCGCGTTTCCATTCATACAAAGAACAGACAGGGTGTGAAAAGAGCATTGCAATGGATTTTGTGTACTGTGAAAGGTGTTAAACTCACCTCACTTCATGTACTGTTAAATATCCTGTTTAGAAATGAATACTCAGAATTTTGTATGTCCTTTAGGACACAAAATCCTTATTTGGGATCTTATCTGAAGGCCCTTAATTTTGAATGGACATTCTTATTTTCTCTTATTCACGCTTACAGGTATGGACATGACTGCAGAAATACAACTAAATAAAGCATCCATGGAAGTAAAGTGTAAACAGCAGCAGATTTCAATGGGAAATGGTCAGACAAATTCATATCGTTTTCAAATGGTGGTATGTAAAGATAGGCAATAGTCCATAAGTAATTTGGTTGCGGTACATAAAGTCCTGTAACAACGTGGGAACAGCTTCTGATAAGAGTCGTTTCATGCTTTTTCCAATTTGAATCCTTAATTACATGGTGAATCAGATCTGACTTTTACTGCTAGTGTAAACAGAACAAACAGTGAAATTTTAAAACCACATTTATTTTTAATACAAAATCTGTTGCACTATTACAGAAGTGAGCCTGTATGTTTACCCCCACATGCACAGATAATTCAGCATCTACAATTAAATAAAATTATACTTCTCTTTTACCAAAACCATTGGTAAAATCTTATTAAGAAATGTTCTCTTTGTGCTTTGTAGTCAATGTTTGTATAATTCATTTCTTATTTCGATTCCCATTAAGAAAACTGGTCAATGAAAAGCTCAAAGGTGCGAAAGAAGCTTATTACAGCTAGCGTACAATTATGATCACTTCGGTTGTGCTTTACCTACAATATATACATGAAAGCTGTGACGTGTACTAGGGTCTGATGTAATGCACTGGCAAAAGCTCCGAATGGTTCAATTAGGAATCTGCAGTAAAAAAGCAGAACAGTTCACTATTTTGTTTTCACAGCAAAAAAAAAAAATATATATTATATATATATTTAAGTAGATGCTTTAAAATACCATGCACACCATTGGCTATAGTACTTCTTACACAGTACAACATAAGCTTTCTTGTTTTATTTGTTTGTAACACCTAGAAGCATATAGCACCTACGCTTTAAGTGTATTTACAAATTCAACAAAATATCTACATATAAAAAGCTTACTTAAAATTAAACTTGATGCAAGTTATGAAAAACCAATTTATTGGCAAATGAAACTGAGCATTCCTTCAACCATAGGTTGTTATAAAAATTTATATTTGGAGGTAAACACTTGATTGATATAGTATGTGAGAAAATAATTTTGTAACTGATAATGGTAATCCTTTACCACTAAACCATACGAGCACTTGTCAGATTGAATTCTGCGGTTGTGAGTGGTAACCCCACAGTGCTTCGGGGTGTAGATAATTCCAAAGCTGCCACACTGAGCAGGCCAGGACACAGAGGGAAATGCACTCTTGCTGGTGTAGTTGGCTAGCTTGTTTTTTAGCTGTTTATTTTACAAGAGCTTATACCTTGCTGTGTTAGTAAATAATTTAATTCTGGTTGTTTGTCATGTGTTTTTTGTTTGATTGTTTGTTTGATTGTTTGTTTTATTATTTTCCTAAATAAATCTTTTAAGGCCATGAAAACATGTTGTGCTGTAACTGTCTAGGAAGTGTTCTTTTTATTAAAGGAAAAAAAAACATACTTTCCTTTGTGTAATTTCAAACATTTAAAACCTTCCATTTTTAGCACAACAGTTTCATAACACTTTTTTAAAAATTTATTTTATTTTACATTTTTACTTTATTTGGCAACAATAGTTGTCCACTAATCACAGTTTACTGCAGCAACTGACTTCATAGTACAGTGCATTATGGAATGCATATTGTATAAAGGCACTGAATGTATTTTGCCCTGTCTTTTCTGGAATATTTTCTGTCATTTTAAAATTTTTCTTTCAGTGACTGTACAAATTCCAAAATGCATTGCAATGCGTATCTTTTATGCCCTAAAATCAATCCAATGTGTTTTGATGTAAAAATAGAACACTGTACTGCTGTAATACTTGATAGATTAAAAAGGCTATAAAGTAATAGGAGCGAAGAGCAGATAATAGGGTCTCATTAAGCATCAGCAAATGCAAGTGTCATACTTAAATCATTTAGCAATTATATACTGTACATACTGTTCCTAACTGTCTTGCAAAAAGACATATGATAGCTAGACATTAAGTCACCAATTTCACAACAATGTCCACAAAGACATTGAAGTTCTATATAATACTACTATAACACTCTGACAATGAAAACGGAATTCATATCCAGGGATTCAGCCAAGGACTGCATAACAAATTGTCCAACCATGTTTTTATAGTGTACACGAGATTGTGAATTGTGTAGCATTTTTTTTCATGCATTATACCATATTTTCAACAGAAAACAAAATTAGAAGTCAATTTTTAGTGTCAGTTCCTTTTAAAAAAGAAGTAAGAAAAAACAAGTTTCAAACAAAATTTGAATTTTGTATTTTGATTCATACTAACATACCACTTGATGTGTCACCATACTGAGTAATTGTATTGACTGGCATGTTCTCATAGCATAAACATTTTGAGGTGAGGAGCTTTGTTACCTGCATGTTCATAGTATGAGAAGGAGGACGTACAAGTGCTTTAAACAAACAGAAGACACAAGGGGATCGAGTTCTTTGATTACACAAATGAATTCATGGCATTTACAGGAGAAGGAGCCTCAGAACTTTCATTTCCTTCTGCAGGTTCTTTCTCTTTTTTACCACTGTATTGTCCAATAAAGGAGCCATCCTCATTGAACTGACCATTTACACCTTCTCCATAGTCAACTAAACTATCATCACTGTCTTCTTTTTTCACAGTTCTGTCTGAAGGTGTCCGGCTTCCTTTTTTTAGAGGTTTATGGTCCTCTGCATCACTGGAGACACAAACAAACAAACAAAATGAATTAACTGATGTACGATTCATTAAGGCAAAATCAGCCGTGCATGCAGAGTTTATAAAAAGCATGTGAGCAGCCCTGTAATCCTTTAGTAAACCCACATCACATTGGAGAGACAAGTCAATATGATGCAGTTGACATGAATACATGGTGTAGTAATGGTTTAAACAGCGAATGTCTTCAGTGGAGGACGATTTTTTTTGTGGTTTTCTTTTTTTTTTTCATCGTGCATGACTTATACAAGGGCATAAGACTCGTGCCCTTGGCTTGGAAGCAATTTAGATGCAACTGCAAGCATTAAAAAGTGGGTTGTAAAGTTAAAAAAAATAATAATTATTTGTTCCTCAGAGTAACAAGCTTATGATGTGCTGTGAAGTTAGTCTGTTAAATTTATTTTCTTTGACTCCTTCAACACGAATGAAGAATGAACTTAGTTAAATGGGATATACTGGTTTTCTTTACTTGTACAAAGAAAATAAAATGCTGCATTTCAAATATTTTGTTACATAATGCAGGCCAGACTTGCAATTTTCAGCCTTACCTTTCAAGAGACCTATATATTCCATTAAAAGGGTGCAGAAGAAACAAATGAAAATAGCCTAAGAAGAAAAGCAAAGTCCATATCCTGATAGTGATCAGTATTTTATCAATAATAAGTTGCTTTTAAAATTGTTAAAACTCTATACAGGTAAAGCAATAATTCAGCTTACAGCAGCCAGAACTGAGTAGTTAAGAGCATGGTTATTTTTTTTTCATTACTTATCAGATCAACCTCTCTATCTTAATCCATAACTAGTAACATGTTCTGACAATGATGATGATAATCTGGAGCACAACAGAAACAAAGAAAGGAAAGAAAGGCAGGGAAGAAAGATCCCTTTAGCAAAGCACTGCAGTTTCTCCCTCGTTGGTGGAAAAGCTGCAGTGCCATCAGGAACCCTGAACAGATTTGTAGCTGTGGTAAGCCTGTATTTTATAAAATAGATCTAGTTGGTCTATTTCTGAATACTTAAAACTGAACTTCAGTTTCAGGGTGAAGATTTCAGCAGCAGCTCCAAACCATTTCTAATTAAAAAACACTACAATTGCACTTATGGGTGCAATTGTCTTAAACGAAACACAGGACTTTATATATGTACCAAAGAACAAATTATTATTTTTTTATTTACTGACTTCCAACTCATGGAAAATATAAAGAAATGTACAGAATGTGAAGTAAATAAAAATAAATTTACAATATCCAAATTGTTAGATGGAATCAAAGCAATAAAGTATGTACAAGGTCACACAGGTTACACTGTTAGCTAATATATACCCTATCGAGAAGCATTTCACTATTGCAAAAAAACAGTATATAAATTTTCCACCAAGCTGGTACCCCTCATCTCCTCATCTGTATTTGGCTTTGGAAGACTTCAAGTTTTCACATTTTAAAAGAAGTACACCTCTACTATGCATATCATTTTTTAAAAGTGCATATCAGAGATTTTACTTTTCTGTGCATACACAGAAGTGGTAGGAACACCTATCTTACTAACATGTAAGAAAAACTTCATGTTAAAATTAAAATGCACAAAGGCCAAAACTCTAAACTTGATCATATTGGCTTAACTTTGTTTTAAGCTATTGCTGTGTACATGGCATGAGGATAAATATCACTGATCTTCTGTGCCCATTGATAATGCGAACATTTAGGTTGTTAACACTTAAATGAATTCTAGTTGAAAATGTCAATCATTCAGCAGCAAAGTGCAAATGTTTATGACACTGCAAACATGAGCAGATTAAAAAGACATCACTCATTTGGAGATTGTTTTGGAAGGAACCTGTGTGAAAAATGCTAAAGAAAGAACAGAGTATTTTAAAATTGCATGTCTCCTCGTCAGATAGCAAGGTACTTTCTTCATTGCCCCCATTTGTGGGCATTAGAGTCATTAAAATAGGCTACACAAGCACTGAAGACAAGACCCTCACTTTGAAATAGTATCAGGTCATAATCTCAAAGAAGAATGACCTGAAGTGTTTATGACTTCAAGGTAAGAGTGTTTAGTAAAGAACACTACACTGTAACATGTAGGAATGAAAACAAATTAAAAACTGCATTTGTACCCTATTCCAACTGGTCAAGAAACTCTGTGTAAATGTTCTAAAGTGTGATCCTATCCAGCATAATTCCTTAGGCTGGAAATACACAGTAAATAAATAATACACCACCGTATGAAAAAATATCAGACATTTCTGTGTTTAATCCAATAAAAAGTTCAACAATTTTAATTGGTAACAGATAAATCTGGGTAGGAGAATTTTTGCTTTGTGTTGCTCTTAGGGTTTTTTGTCTGTATTTTTATAAACAAAATGTATTTATATGCAAAACAGTAAAGAAATACTTACACAGCTGGTTGTATTGTGTCTGTTTTTTCTGCTTTAGTAAGGATGCAGATTCTACTGTCTAATTAAAAACAAACAAACAAAACTGCTGATTCACCCATGAGTGCACCTGAATAGAGGTGGGCGCTGGTATAAGACCATAGTTACAGCGGATTCAAAATCAAATCTGAACCTGGGTATTCACTCTGTTTTTGCACCAGAAAAGTCCAGAAAGAAGTTCTGCCAAGACTCTGGCAGTGAAAAAAGAAATGGGATTACGCAAGGTGCTTTCCACTCCTTGCTCAGGAAAACATATTGCATGGTACCTTGATTCACGCTGGATTATAAACACTTGTATTAGATTAATACAATGTTTTGGTTGTAAGGGAAAGATAAAAGACAAAACAGGAGAGAGCAAAAAAGTGAAGACATCAACATTTTGGACAGCACTTTTGTACCTGTGGGGGTGCAAAACAAAGAAGGGAGCCTGGTGCTCTGGGGAAATGAATGGGTTTTCTGTGTGCTGCCAAGAAGCAATGTACAAAAGCCGCTGAGTTGTCCCATTATGAATATTGATGCCCTAAGAGCTATGAAACACTTTATGCTTTAGAACATATAAAATTATATTGCAAAAACGTTAAAGTCAGAACTTTTGATACAGTATCTGCAAGATTTGCTAATCTTGTTTCTGATTGTTCATAAAACTATTCCAAAATACAAACAGAATATATCAAAATCTATTAAAATAGATCTTTCAGTTTTTGTTTGTGGTTTTGCTTGCTGACTTTAAACTTATCTAGTGCAATACCCTGAAATGAAAAATAAGGTACAAATTGGGTTACCTAAAATTACAGTTGGAAAATTTAAGAAGTATTTAGAAATGCGTCATGTATGCAGTGCCTTCAATTAAGAGTGAGACAGTAAGTACTGAAAAAGAACAAAACAAGAGGTGGGAATGTGTAAGAATTTTATATTTAGCTCAGATGACCATGACAGCTAAGCTTAGGGATACTTTTACGATTTGTTTTCTTAGAAATAATTTCCATGCCACTAGCTTTTTAAGGATGAAAGTTTGTTAATAAAGACGCACCAGTCATTTTTGTATGTACTAATATGTACCAGGCATTTCTTGCCCCTTCAGTAAGGACAGTGCATTTAGTATTAAAGCAGACTCTAAAAGCTGTAAATATTTTTCATAAATGATTGCTAATATATGAATACATGTATCTTTTCCATTTGTTTAATGAAACACACAGCAAACTTGTACCTAATGAGTAAGAGAGATGAAGAAGTACGGAGGTAACAATAATGATGTATAAATACAAAGTACAAACTTATTTATTTTTTTTAAAAAAGTATTTCCATTTCACAAGCTCATCAGTTATTGAAAGAAATATGTACCTTGAAATCTCCTTTCTTCTTTCAACTTTTCAATTTTTCTTCCTTAGATATGGGTACATGCAGCAACCAGTCAGAATGGGGAGGACAGTATTACGATGCCTCTGCAGTCCAGCAGGCAACTAGTTCCCACTAAACTTTGCCACATTCATGGACATGCAAAACAACTCAATATATGGTTAGCAATATACTACTTTTCCTCATAACACAACTGTCAGATGAAAGGCAACACAAAACAAACAAAATGGGTAAAGCATTCTGGGCTATCTTCTGGGCAGAAAGAGAATGCTGAAGATGGAATTTTTTGGTAGTAAATTTCTTTTTCTGTGCCTTCATGTCAACAGCCCAGAAATGTTTAAGTATAAGCAGCCACATAACGCCACAGAAGGCTTACAGGACCTTGCACTGTGGCTTTCCTGTAGACTCCCAGAGAACTTCTGCCCCAATACCTAATGGGTTTCTGCTCACACTCCTAAATTGACTGGGATACCAAGGACTGTACAGGTAAAGAATTATTTCCCTATACACTTAAGCACCTGTATCAATTCAGATTTCAAAACTTTTTACTATTTCCAACCTTGCTAAGACAAAATAACTTATTTTTCTGAGTAGGTTTTCTTTAGCACATCTAATATTTGATCTTCAATCTTGGCAAAAGCTGCAAAAACTGGGAGATTAAGCTCTGGCTTTAAATGGCAACAAGTTAAAAAAGTTGTTGTTAGCCAAAGAATATGACCTACTCGTAGTAAGTATCTTAAAGAAAAATCTGCTTGAGATAAATTTAAGCAAACCTTTGCTATTTCTGGAGGAAAAATGTTCAAACTGAAATCAAAGCAATTATTTAAAAAATCAGGTGACAGAGATGCTCAAGAATTAAAATAAGAACCATCAAAGAAAGCATGTGTGTGTGAATGAGGACACAGTAAGATCACTGCCAAATCCAATCTATTCAGAGACTAAAATCCTTCCGGCAGTCTGCTGACATCACAGCTTGTGCTAGAAGGGATCGACCTTAGAATTATTGTGGTGAGGCAAAAATCATTGCTAGGTACCCCTGGAAACAAACCTAGGCTGCAATAAATCTTTGTAAGTACAGCAGAAAAAAAATACTGTTGTAGTTACAAACTACATCCTCATTGTTAATCAACCTAGAGAAAGAAGGAAGACTAATAGATTATCTGACAATCAAAGAACTGTTCACCCATCATTTCCAGAAAGTCTTTCATAGCATAGCTAGAAATGTCTTGGAAAATAGTTTGTGACAAAATGTTGAAGACAAGAGGCAAAAGAATTCAACAAAATGTGTGAGCATATTGTGTAACCATAGTAGCAGTCCTGCTGCTGTAGATGCATTGACCTTTGATCTTCCTAAGATTTTACAGAGTACAAGAGGACAAATACACTTGGATATCATGTAAGAAGAGACGTGAAAAGCTATACTTTCATACTCCCTGTAAAGCAAACTTAGAAATGCATGCTTTCATACTCCTCCCACCCCTCCCCTGAGGTCTATAGATGCCATAAATTCTTAATTTCTCTTGCTTTATGGCCCAGGATGGAAATTTAGGCTTATTTATATATCTGCGCTGACCAGAACAGGAGCTCTGCATAGCCTATACTTTGAATTTAAAAAAACATACATTTTCACTATTTGTTGTATGTCTTGCAGTTTATTGATGTGGGCATTGACTGTCCACAATTCAGTGTCTTCTCTAACTGAGGAAACCACTGGGGCTGTAGTGAAATCAGCTTGCTATAAAAACGACTTCTAGAGGCACCCTTTTCCTTTGCTATGTAAAGATGCAGGAATGCCACCAGTTATACAAACAGTGCATACCCAGTCATTCTGTGGTTCCTGAAACACCTAGGTTTCTTAGAGCATTACTTCCTCTTTAGACTGCAGAAAAATCCGATGTTGGCAGGTTCTGCAGATACCTGCTCTTAGAAGAAACCCAGTGGAAGAGTGCAAAACTTCAAAGTCCGAGCAATCCAAAGAATACTGAGAAGCCTACAAACTGAATGTGACAAAAAACTCCCCTAAATCTATGATTTCTCTAGAAAATCATAATTAATCATTAAGATTTAAGTCATTTAATCAGTTAAATCTAATTTTGAAACAACAAATTTTCGAAGTATCAGCATTAGCAATTAAGCATTGTCTAGAAATATTGAAGTCTATTCAGTATAAATTTTTGAATCTTTCACTCTTCCCAGTTCCTGAGAAAAGAAGCCAGTCTATGTTCTTAGAAAGTTCCTTTTGATGGTCTGGCGTCTCGCTGAAAATGAGATGTCCTTTCATAGTTGGCATGGAATGAATGTGAGAACTTATACTTTCTTTTCCCTCCTTTAAACTTTGGAGGAGAATGGAAGTAACTCAGAGACTTGCGAGGATAAGAAAATGAAGAGCTTCTAAGAGAGCTTTTTTTTTTCGGCTGTTGTAAGGAATGTTTGTGTTCTGCAAAGTCCTTCATGATCTGGACCAAGGATTCACCAAATAGCTTGCCACCAGTGTATGGTAAAGACAGCAGTTGACATTTGAGATCTAATGATGAGGTCCAGGGACGTAGCCATATAGCTCTCCAGGCCACTGTGAGGCATGCCATATTTTTAATTGTGAGTCTAAGAGAATCCTCAGCTGCATCATGGATAAAATTAGCTGCAAGTTTACATAGCCTGCGTTTCCTTCGTATGGCACCAGGTGGGATCCGTTTTATTTTGACTCTGGCTCGTTCTTCCTCCAGCCATATGAGCAATGCTCTAGAAGCATAAGTGCAGTAGATAGATACTCCAAGCTGTGCTGCAACCAGCTTGAAAGATCTTTTAATTGCTTCCTCAATCTTTCTATCAGTAGGATCTTTAGGGAGAGCATCCCCTTTAGCAGGCATCGAAAGTACAGAATCACCAGTAACCAATGCCCTGTCTACCTTAGGCAAGGTCCCCCACAAAGCAGCTTTATCCACTGGAAGAGGATACAGCTTACGTAGTACTGCTGGGGCTTCATGTTTTGCCTCAGGATTACCCCAAATCCTACAGACAAGATTTTCCACTGCTGAATGGATAGGAAGTGCATTATCTCTCTTGCCTTCTTCAGATGAGATAGGCAGTTCTTTTGAAGGGCGTTCACATCTGGAAGTTTTCAGCATTAACGCTCTTTTAATGTGCTTGAACAGATAATTCTGATCCTCCATGTCAAACCTACGCACAGCATCTGGTCCTTCTTGGTCTTCTGTAGGGGATTCAGATGACATTTCCCCATCTTCAGGGGTTGATTCAACCTCCAAAGCCTTGCCAGCCTCAGCTTTCTCCTTCACAGAAGCTATTTGGTCTTTTAAACTGTCCTCAGGGTCAGTTTCAAAAGTTTGGGAACTGGTCCCAGTTGCTAATAGAGGAACCACTGGAACTTCTGTAATTGGTACCCTGGGGTGCTTAACTGAGTGGGACCTAGCCTGTGCCACAGAAGTTATACTTTGTCTGGCTGCTGTCAGTGCATCCTTTAAGACAGTAGCTAGCTCAGGCAAAAATACAGATTTCATTAGTGAATTCTTTTCAGATTCAGAGAAATGAGTAGTAGAAGGTCTTACCTTCCTGTGGTAGGAGCTCTGAGTGTCTTCTGAATCTGAGCTGTAGTCTGGGGTCTGGCTGAACCAGTGCTGGAGAGAAGAATGCTGCCTTGCCACTGAGCCACGACCTGAGTTGCAGCTGAGGGGTTGCTGGAAAGGGGGTGGCTGTCCTGCCTGAGAATCTGAGCCCTCCTCCGAACCCATTATCTGTTGCTCAGAAGCATGATGTCTAGAGTCATGCCTGTACTTCCATTCGTCTGACCTCTTTTCCTCTTGGCAGAGGGAAGCAGAGACAGAACTAACCCCTGTGAGCTCTGAAGACTGCCTAGCCCTCCTCCTGGTGTAGGAGGCCTCTGATTTGGTGCTGGAGTATTGATCCCCTGACCTTTTGAAGAAGTTGGATCTGTCAGATCTCACAGACTTTGCTTTGGTAAAGACAGGGTCTGCTTCAGGAGAATTGGCACAGCTACCTTTTCTTTTCTTTTCCTTGTCCATTTTCCTTCCTGTCCAAGCAGACATGGACCTGAAGTGATGAAAAAAGTTCAAAATACTCGAATTTCTAGACTTTTCATAAATTACTTTTCTGTTCAAGGGAAACCCTATACCCTTTTTCCTCAAAGAAGCACTGCATCACGGCCAGTGCCATGTGAGGCAGACAAACTGGGAATTGAGTGACTGCAGGGATGTTGGGCTGCAGAGAGGGTGCCAAGATATCTTCTGTAATCTGACTGGTTGCTGCTGCTGCCCTTTCTCTAAGGAAAAAAGAGGAAAGCCCAATATAGACTAATTACACAGAAATACATTTTAGAAAGGAGTTTTTGCATAGTAAAAATAGGATGAGCATATGAATAAGTCTGAAAGCAAGGCATGCAACTGTCCATTTTTACCAGATAAGAGGCTGATAAATGCATTATAAAATCCTTTAATATAGAACGAGATGGTTCTTTAGATTAACTCAAGCCACTTAAATATGGCAACATAAATTCAAATCTTGCTACAGGTCACACATGAAAGCAGACTTTAATAGTCTTAGTCTAGATCTGAGAAAAAGCATATTGAAGTCACATCATTTGTACAATTCTGTACAAAGGGAAAGTTCTAAGTACAGAAAAGCAGAGGAGCTATTAAACAAGAATGCAAACTGGACTGGTTAGGAAAGTCTATGCAATACTTATTTACATCTGCTTCCAAACACTGCTTTACACTATTTATTTTATCAGCCAAATTTCATCGATACATATACACGTAATGCTCTAATAAAATGCTACACTAAAAGGATTAAGCTAAGAAAAAGTAGAATGTTTGCCTTTTTTTAAAAAAAAAAAAAAAAAAAATCCAGGAAGAATGAACAGAAACTGCTCTTTGGCATTCAGAATTGGAAATCTATTCTGGTCAGATCCAGATGCACATTACCCGTATAAGAGGAAGTTACAACAACAGAGTGAATCCTTCTTAAAAAAATGGTTTTGCTTTGTACATTAAATTGCACATCTTCAAAATAATAAAGGGTGTTTACAATATTTTTTACATAGGAATACACTGTGAAATGCATTATAACACTCAGGTTAAATATAGCAGTATTGTTATACTTACAAACTAAGAACATTATTTCCTGTATTAGTTAAAAACCATCAAACAAAATGCTTAAACAAAACAAAACAAAACAAAACACAACAAAACCCTATACTAAGTATTATGTGAACAGACTTAGCAAAGTGTGTGCTTTTTGCAATGTCAGGAGATTCAGCTAGCCTACATTTAAAATAAATGAGTAAAAGCTGTGTCACATGCTTTGAAGCTTCTTTCTTGATTTTTTGCACTGAAATACATGAAACCAAGATCTGCTTTTTCCTGTAGGGCATTCCCTCACCTCCATGTTCAACACTGCCTCCTTGTTATTGGATTAGGTATTAGTATTGGGTGCCATCTTAAATGCATTCATTTTCAAGTCAATGGAACACAAGATTGTCTTTATTAAATTTCAATTAGAAATTTACTTTCAAAAACCATAATGTGAGATATGCCCTAACTGAAAGGATTTGTATTGGTGGCTTACTCTGAACTCTCAGTTCCTAATTTGTGTGTGTTTCATTTTTTTTCCTAATAGTGTAGTTAAAATGCTGTCTATAGTTCTACAAAACACTGGATGCAGAATCTTTCTCAACACTGAAAAAAAGTTAGTTGTGAATTAGTAAGTGTGACATATAAAGGACGTGTGATATGAACAGTGAACATTACAAACCACATCAGCTGCTCACCTGTATTCACCAAATGTTCCATCATCTTCCTTCATAGGCTGTATTTCTGGATCAGCATGTGCATCCTCCTTTTCCTTCACTAAAATATTTGAAATAGTAATTTTTATCATTAAACTGCAACACTAGAAACCTCAAGACCCTAATTTCTCAAATTGATCGCATTTGGCAGGAACGTGGTTTGAATAAAAATCATTGTTTGAGCTATGGTCTCAGATACATGTTTTCTTTTAAAGAAAAAAAAAATGTTTATTAGTTATAGAATCTTATTCAAGTACAAAATACTGCATTAGTAAAACTTTTTATTCCTTTCATTTCCAACTAAAGATTTGCTAAAAATCTTAGTAAAAATTTTCCCTACTTATGATATTACTAGAGCTATTGTTTAATGAAATCTGAACAATTTAGTTTTACTTATGCATGCTCCATATTGCCCCTCAATATTACTCCCATACTGATTGATAACACTGAATCAAGTTCATTTATGTTCACTGTTAGCTTCCGTCGGCTTTCATGTCATGCACTAACAATGCAGTCAAGGTATTGCAACAATCTCCAGGGAATTTTAAATAGCATTTAACATATATTAATGACAGAAAAAAAAAAAAAAAAAGAGTAGGTTTGGTCTGTTCATTGCTTCTTTTCTATAGCATGATGAAAAGCAAGGCAAAAACACCTAGAGTGGAAGCTAAATTAACACAATCGTATTTCTTGCACATCCTTGTTGCAGGCTTAGTAATCTTGTTGTCGTTCACTGGTAAGAATGGAGGAATCTTGCATTAGTCTTTGCATGTAACCTGTCCCTATACAAGTATGTAGCACTGTGTTCTTAGATACAGAAACCTGCTAGTACCTGAGGAAACAGATGTTTATAGAAGACATATATTCCTATAAATTAAGATTGTTGACAGAATAAAACAATATACTGGCTTCAAAAAAAATAATCTTCATTATCATTCTTCCCTTTTCTTTTTTCCTTTCTGGCATTGTGGCTATTCAAAACCTTCCCTTGTTTAGCAGATAGTTACATAATCCAATATACAATCTCTTATCTTTTATTCTGGTAATTTCCACACTTAATTTGTACATCATTAGTTTATACACTCTTATTTAAGATGATATGAATAATTTCTGACAGTAATCTATAATTATGATAATATGTAACACCTTGAAATCTGTCTGCTATAATTTCATACTGAAATAATTTACCACTTTTTTATGACAACTGGTAATCTCAAGATGACATGCTAAAATTAAGACAAAAAAAGAATTATTAACCGTGCTTTGCATTTGTCACTTCATTGGTGGAACATTGCATTTCCAATGACACCAGAAATAAAATTAGCTCCAGAGGAAATACAACTAGCTCCGGAGTCACTGTTATAAACATGAGTACATTCTCAGTGTGCTTATACAGTTAAGGTCTGCCATATCTAGTCATTGGCTATATCCATATAAGTGTGTATATATATTTATGCATACATAAAAGAGTTAATACCTTCCATGTCATAAATCTGCAGAAGCCCAGAAAAGAAGGGCATAGCAAAGACCTCCACAAAGTAATGACATCCTTAGCATCCAACTGTCTCCTACACTTTTACTGTTTTACCCTCTTCTGGTTGGTGGCTCACTCCAAGTTATCTCAAGTTACCCTTTGATGCCCTCCTGAAGTCCATTTATATTCACTCATACCTCACTCCTGCTCTGAGATCCTGTCACTACTGTTATAGGCAAACTCGATGTCACTCAGTGTCTGTTTTCTACAGGGTTTTAGTCTACAGAGCTGCTACATAGGCACAAATATTAGACTGGGAAGAAATATACATGAAACATATATACACACATGGATATATAACAAATTTATGTCTTCTATAATGTCCCAGGGGATAGAAGAGGTACGTTGTATAGTTCCAATTTTTTTGTTACAAATTATAAAATATATTTGGCCATTGCTAGTCTAATAATAAAAAATAAAAGAAGAAAAAGAAAAACTCTTATGAATAAAAAGTTACACAAAACAAAACAACCCACCAAGCAAACAAAAAACCACCCTAGCTGGAGGGTGATATTTGAAATTTAGATGCAAAAATACTGAGGCTGAAGAAGACACAGATTCTGAGAAGGAGGATAAAATATTTGAAAAAAAAGTAACTGTATTAAGGGATCTATCTTATGAAATGCTGCACTCCTAAGACATTTAAGTAACATGGCAGCTATGATATGGTATATGTTTCCATACCTTCTCCAATTAAATTCTACCTCAGCTCATTTCAGTGGGTTAAAACACATTTGCATTAGACTTCAGAGAAAGGGGCATGCAGTACTGGTAGTATGACCAAGTACATCAATCAAAGCTCAACCTTCTCTAACGTGATCATGTAGTTATTTGACCCTCCAGGATGAAGGAGATGCTCTTCATATGCTTAAAAGGATTGAAGTTTTCTACCAATGGGCAGATTGCTCCCAACAAGCCTATCAAATGATAGTACTGATCTCCTACACACACAATGTAAATGCTAACCAGCAGCAAATGTAATTTCTCCAGTAAACCTGAGGTCTGTCTTAAATGGATTACTACTAGATAATTTTTACTCTTGTTATATATCATACCTGGATATTTGCCACCCTTATTCCTCCTGATGAAGCAAACAATCAGTAAAATCAAGATAAGAAGAGCAACAGCACACATAAGACCAATGAACCATCCTTGAGTAGCAATGTCAACCTGCCGACTTGCCATTGCTAAAGAACAGAAGAAGAAAAAATATTACGAGATGCTTTCCTGCACTGTTATATTAATTAAAATAAATAATACTGTACACAACATTTATTAATTAAGGAATAACACTCATTGTGAAAATTAGCATTAAGAAAAACAGTGATACTATGAATATTTTCATATTCAAAATGTTTCCAAGTACAAGCACACAGAATTTACTTTTGAAAATATAAGAATTCTGCCAACTTTCTTCAACATTTTGACTTAAGAACTATTGCAGAACATGTACACATACTATATTGCTTTTCACAAATCTCAAAACTATTCTCAACCACTTTACATTAATTAAATGTCTGAAATGAAATTGCAAATTATAATTCACACAAACACTTAGATTGCATTATCAAAATGAATAAAAAGCCAATACTCATTAGCTAATGCACACCCATTAGTCTGAAACAGAGAAACAGATGGGTCATTCAAGGCCCTAATATTAAATTCCAACTAAAAATCAACAATGAAGCATCCTTTAAAGCCTTATTAAGCATAATGTTTTCTTCCTCTCCTCAGACCTGTACCTCATGCTACAATTTATCATGATTGCCATAATTTAGCATTAGTGAGGACTTAACACAAGGCAATTGGGAGGCCTTTCCTTGGCACAGTTTCTCTCCAATTGCCAACTCTATCTGGAAAATTATGTAAATAATAGGCAAACCACACAGGAAACACTACAGCCACTAGAGAGGGCAGGAATTATCTGTGTGGTATGGTGGCTGGAACCCTCCTACTTGTCTCCAACACAGTATTTGGAAACACTACAGGCAACTGGCCTTAGAAATTGCTGCTGGAAGAAAGTGGGAAAGGTGATAGGAGTTGGGAATGTGCGCTATAGAAGAAAACATGAAGGGGATGAAGAAGGACATCCATTGAACTCTTGCTTCCACTGAAGTGGAGGACACAATGCATAAATAGCTTTACACAGAGAAATGTGAAAATCCCAGAGCCTGCAAAAGATTTCCACCTCTCCTTCGAGAAGATATGTCTTTAAGGGAAGGCTTATAAAAGGACATCACAGACAACCTGTTTGTTTGTTGTTTTTTTTTTTTTTCCAGTGGAGCATTTACTGTCCAAGCTCATTGAGCTTGGATTGTCCAGGTGATACAGCACCAACTCTCTTCTCCTTACAAGACATGGAGAATGCCAACTGGGAAGAGTCCTGTCCTGGTGCTGTCCTTTGAGCAATGCCGCAGCCTTCTTTGGCAGACAGCTAGCTGACGAGAGACTGCACTGGACTGGCAAGCACACTAACAACAAAATGTAACAGTATTCAGTTATAGGCCAGAATTCAAGCCCATGTCTCAATGTTATTTATTAGCTAAGGCAGAGGCTGAGACAGCTAGCTTGCAAACATCCGTGCTATACGATCCTAGATTCCTGAGGGTCTTCCACCAACTGCATGAAAACAGTAAGTACCTATGAGTAATATTTAAACAATTCTTGCACTGAAATGTCTAAGTTATATGTGTGTATACAGCCTTTATATAAATATATATATTTATACTTTATATACTGCATATAAATATATAAACAAAAGTGGCAATCTTAAAAAACAAAATCACAAAGGTAATCGTCCTCTGAATTGTAAACCAAATTAATATAAATTTTGTTTCCATATAAAGGTTAAAATTATTTTGAGTTTTATATAGATGCATTTATAATAAGGCATTAAAGGTTGTATAATAAATACTGTAGCAAAATGCAAAAGCACATTTAACATTCAAACATAGTAAGAAATAGCAACAAGCAAAACAACTCATGCATAAAAATATGCAAGATAGATGGGAAGAAATAAAGGTGAAAACTTACTTATGCAGCTTCCTTAACTTATTGTATATCCAGTAGGAAAAGGTTTCTAGACCTCAGTGCAACTTTAAAATGGCACAGAATTTCCTGTGTACTCTGAGCAAATTATCTGCCTCAGGCAGAAATACATTTATTTACTCTTGTTGAACTGCTAATGCAGAAGTCAATGCAACACACCGTACTGGTATGCTCAAAAGATGAAACCACACACTACTAAGATGTTCTATAGGAATGCTTGCTTAAGAAAAAAATTAGGCAAAAGCTTCATTATGTCAAACATTGCAGTTTCTTTCCTAATTGGAAGCATTGGAAGGCATTCCATATTCCAATAATTTTCCCTTTGCCCACTTGATTTTTTGCAATGTTTAAAAGCTTTAATCTAGACTCAAGACAGTATGACATAACATTTTTGCTTTTCTAAAAAATATGCTATATCATTAGATTAAGAATGATGAGCAATACTGTACATGGAGCATTTCCTTGATCAAAAAGCATAAAAGAGTCTTTAAATTCTCTTTAAATTCCCTTCTTAACTAGTCAAAGATATCAGCCAAGGTTCATTAACAGTTATGTACAGGATTCTTTATCTACTGGTTTGGTATTTTTTGTTCAGAGAGATACTTTTGGGAAGATTTCTGTTCTGCTTGTTTTGAATTATACTACGATCTTGATCCTTTCTTTATTGCTGCTTTAGGCTTTGTTTTTTTGTGTATTTGCATAAAACTTTACCTATTGGCATTTATACCATTAGCTTTCTCTGGCATAAACAACCTCTCTGCTTAGCCCATATACATTTGCTTGGCACTGTTATTCAGCACCATGCTTTCAAAATTTTGCTGCAACTTGACAAATTGTCAACAGAAATGGTACAAAACAAAGCAAAAAATTATGATTTTAGAAAGCACTCACTTTCCAACTGGTACATTCATAATTTACTTTGTTGTCTGATAAATATTACATATTGTCCAAGCATATTTTCATATTTAAACTACTTTCTTAAATCATAACATTCTGGATTTGGTGAAGTGCCTGCTAAACAACTATGCATGGACCAAAATGCTTGGAATGAGCAGAAGTGGCTATCATATACAAACAGATAATAATAGCTGACCAAAAGCATGCTGTGATGGTAACAACATAATCAGCATAACATCAAAAAAACTTCCAATAAAACTCTTCCTTTGAGTTAAATGAACAAGCATTACTGATTTGCTTATGAAAAAAATGACTGCTGCACCTTTCTTTAAATGACTGAAAAGATATACATATAGAACTTAATAGCCTTACTGATTCACAGGATAATTTGTGAAATCAAAATATTTACATAACTAATATAATAACAGGAAAGGAAACATAAGTAGAAATCTCTTAATAGTGGTATATATAGATTACATGAGTCTTCAGATTCAATCTGCACTTCTGATTACACATACATTTTAGCTCTGATTTTTTGTATTAAATAGGATGATATGCAGATTGTTAGTTTTCAAAATATGTACTTGACTCTATTAAAGTAGACATTATTTAAATATAGAAGTCTAGTTATATTAATTAGAAATAAATTAAATAGGTCATCTTCAATGCACAGCACACAGATGGAGTGTGAGCAGTATCTTGCCCCTAACATAAACAACAGACAAGTAGAATCAATTGAAAGGATGAAAACATTCATAATCTACATAAGAAATGTGCTAGCATATATAGGAGTTTAAAAAATAATTCAACATTGCTCTAAAAAAAAAAAAGGAACATACAAAGATACAAAGATGCTAGCTACAAAGTCTTTTAGCTAGAAGCAGTTCAACATTTCAGCATGTGGTCTCTCGCAATTCTGACTATGATACAGAATTGGTACGGTGTGCCTCACCTGGACCTGTCTCAAACACATCCTCTGAACTCCTAAAACCAGACAGGCCCTCAGCACCAACCCGGACTTTATATGCTGTTCCTGGTGTTAAACCCTTTAACACAAAGAAGCTTCGAGAACCATTTACAATTTCTTTTTTCCAATCTTCTTTGCCTACAAAAATTTTAGGAAAACAACATATTGGAATTTTAATTGTCTATGTGTTACTGAAAGTTTCTAGACAGAATATTATCAACAGTTACTTGACTAAACTATGGATTGGCTGAAAAAAACAACAACTATTCTTTCAAAAAATAAAACTATATAAAATTACGACTGCAAATAATATATTGCATGCAATATATTGAAGAATACACTATTACACATTGATTATGAAACTATTTTAAACATTTGTTCCATTGTACTGTAGAAATACGATTTTAATTTATTTTCTTTAAAGACTTACTGAAATTGCAATTATCAAATACATTAAAATAGATTTTAATCATTTAATGAGACTATACTTTTGTAGTTTCAGTTAATATTTACTTTAGTTGAGAAATTCTATTTTGCAATCTGAACAGATCATATTTCCTGATCATTATCTTCTTTTTCCAGGACAGATGCTTCTTTGACTAATATCCATAAAAAATTATTTATATTCCAATTTTCAGATATATCATCTTTAGTCATAACTTTAGGAGGATAAAGTATTTAAATATCATGGTTTTATTAGCTATCTATCTGTGTTACATTTATTATTTGTATTATCAAAGATTAAAACCTATTTTCATGCCAAGAAAAGTATGCAAGTTGGTCAATACCTTGTTTTAAGGTTTAATTTAACAAAGAAAATAGTTTTTGCTGACTGTTTTATTTTCCTGATTTGGATATAATTTAGGAGAACTGTTAAATCCCATTTTAATGTATGTAATCATATTTTTACATATGTAATCAATGCATTTAAGCGATCAGCTTTAAGTGATCTACATTTTAGAAGTTCATGTTCACAATAATTTATAAGATAATACAAAGGAACAAAGGCTGATTTTCTATCTAAGCATCAAAAACCTACTACACATTGATGTTTACTATAATGAGAATTATTTGATCTCCAGATCAAGTTAAAAAATGTTTTTTCCAAACATTTAAAAGCTATCATTAACACTGGGTCAACTTAGGACCATGTTTAAAAATGTTTGAAAATATATCTGAACACTTAATATAATTTAATGAAATGACTTCTTACTGCCTGCTACACCATATTCAACATAAAAGTTCGCATGATCTGGTCCCTCATACTCCCAACTGATATTGGCATAGGTCTCAGCAGCAGCTGTTGTAACATTTCTGATCCTTGGATAAAGTGGTTGCACTGAATACACAATAGAAAAACAAAGCAGAATATGAAATTGCGACTTCATACATTAAAAAAAAAAAAAAGAAAAGAAAAAAAAAAGGAAGGTACTATGCTAATTTAGATCACATACAGGGAAAGTATTTGTCATTGTTTCCATTACAGGAAATTAGTGACTAAATTAGCATGCTTGGTAATTGAATCCTAAGCAGTTACTACACCATGAAATTAGAAAGTGAAATCTATGTACTCTAGTGAGCATGCCCTATAACACTGAAACTGCCAAATACTTAAAAATGCTTAATTGCCAAAATCCCAGAAAACATTGTTTCTATTCATCCAGAAGTAAAATGAACATAGTGGAGAAGTGAGAACATTGTCCAGGTAATGGGAAATGGAGAGAACAGAGGTATGAAGGTGGCACACACCTCCCTTTATTCCACGTCACTGAATGGACTGTAAATGCCTCAACTGCAAGCCCTTTATAGGACTGTGTCTCTATTGCATTGATAATGATAAAAAAGGAACACAATACCCTTATAGAAAGTTGGACGGACAGTATGCATGACTGGGGAGGTTGCAAAAAGGGTTTCTGAATATCCTTCACCATCAGAGGTAGTGGGAAAGAAAAAATAAACAGTAAAAACACTTTACATCAAAAATTATCATTTAAATAATGCAGTAAAGCCTTACCTGCTAAACGAATAATGCATGCACACTCTACATTCATGCAAAATTCAATTAGTTTTACTTGTTAAAATATGAAAGGGCTAAATGATAAACACATATTTGAAAATGAACAGGAGTATATTTTTACTGAAACCTTTATTTTTACAGAACATTTATGAAATCAGCTTCATTGCCATTATGGATTCATTGCAACTTTAAACATTTCCATAACATTCCCTATGTTATGGAGAGCCAATATCAAAATATTCTGGTGTGAAGCACTCGAGTCACTGGAAAGCAAAGAAAAACAAAACAAAACAATACTATGGATTTTAAGATACTGAGTCCTATTATCATTCTCGTCAGACACAAGTGTGTTGCACAGATATGCACAAAGTCCCCTATGCAAATAAGTCCTTTTCTCTTCGGCATCTTGTAATTAGCCACATCTTTGCTCATATCTTAATTTTTGTTCTCCAATTACATCTGTTAAAAATGGACAAAAACTTCAGCATGTTTGTTTGCTTAATATTAATAAAAATAAATTCTATTATTTAGTGCAGATCCAAAAGGTTTTGAACGAAAATGCCTTACTCTGTTTGCCACTGACATTTTGATCCTGCTAAAACATCAAAAATACTTCCAAAAGTATCATGGAACACCAGAGGTGAAATCTTAGTCTCAGGAAAGACAATGACAAAATTCCAGCAACTTTGCCTATACCAGAAAATAAAATGAGCAAAGGCCTGTTCTCAAGGCAAGAAGTGCTGCAGAGATTTTATTCACATACTTATTTCCTCCTCAGAACAGGATGGGCTTGTCCATACAGCTGACTGGAAGTAGTTCCAAATTTGATTCAAAGAAAAAATGGCTTGCTTTGGCACAGTAAAATAAATAAATCTGTATAGACAGACTAAATGAGTACTGCAACTAGAAATCTATAGCTCCTGAGAGTCTTTTTTTTTTAAAAGATCTAAATGATGCAAATACCATCAATTCTTCTGAAAATGTATCCTCGTTACAAATTTTCACACTATCAGGCTTTTTATCTCCATATTTGTACCATTCTTTTCTTAATTCTACTTCATTAGTAGAATTCTCATTCAACTTCAGTCTGTATTAAACCTATTACTGCTATATTTGATGTCTTTGTAGGTTGTTGTGCTTATGTATTTTATACATCACTTCTTTCACCAATCAAAAATAGGGAACATATTTGTTTAAGAGATAAAGAATATATCTATTCTCTAAAATCAACTTAAAATCAGAAAGAACAAGATTTTTTTAAAAAAGCCATCTAGGTTACTAAATCAACAACAAAACCACTAAGAAATACCAGAGCCAGGATTCTGGTATGGAAAATCTGGTCTGTAATCATATCCACTATAGTAACGCACGGGGATTACGTTCTGCTCCTCTGTGCCACTTTAAGGTAGCAAGAAGAAAGAATAGCAAGGTCTAAATTTAGAAACATTCAGAGTCTGAGACTATGGATAGGATATATAAACATCTTGCCTCATTTGCACATGGGAACAGGTGTAAATTACAATCAGCATCTTAGTATTTGTTCTTTGCCAAGAAAGCTACCGGTTAGTACTCTAAATATAATTTATTCTGTTTTGTTTCATTAAATCATATTTTCTCACACCTATATTTTCCCGGATTTTGCTGTTCTACCAAAGATGTCTAATTAGCAGCAGAACTGTATGGCTGACATTTGTCACTGATGTCAAGGTCAGAAGAAACTATAAGCAATAATCTGTTTCTCCTGCAAAGAGATGCCACAGAACTACATCTGGCTTTTCCCTCCTGATGCCTGGGTGCTCATGGATGAAGTAAAGAGTCTCACCCTGTGTGAAAGACTCCAGATGACAGCCAGCCTCTGTATCACTAGGCTAATTAGATAATTACCTTTCCTGTGAAATGTGCATCTTTTCTTGTGTTCTTGTGTTTGTTTGTTTGGGGCTTTGTTTTTTAAATCTTTGATTTCTAGTTTCTGCCCCGACTAAATGGCTGTTTGCTAGATTAAAGACCTAGTATTGAGTAAATTGCTTTCTGTTCATATGATTGCACATAACAGTGAAATTGGCTCAGAAAATTATCTTCATTCTTTTGGTTTTTTAGTTTCTAAATTCTCTCAAGTGACTGACTAATGCTGACATTTCCCAGACGTCCTCTTTTCTGATTTTTACCAATGGTTGCTTGTACAGTTTGATCTTTGTGTAGTATTTGGTCAGTTTTAAGTTCTGGTTTTTCTTATCGAACACAACACACCAACAAATTCATTCAGTAGCGTATTTATTTTCAAAATTATTACTTCTGTTATTCTTATTAGAATAACAACTAGTTCTATTATTAGAACTAGTTGTTCTAATAATTCCAGCAAGCCTGGAAATTGTTAGTTAAATCTTTCAACTCTGCCATATTTGCAAAATGGTTATACATGTAGGTAAAATAAAAGATAGCTGATGGATTCTAAGGTGATGAAAGCCTGATGTCTCGGTAGGTACAAGATTCAGAGCTTGTCTCCAATCTACCCAGACTCTTGTCTTCTAAATCACCACACCTCTAATTATAATTAACATCTTAGTACTTCACTATGCTTCCTAGCACTGTTCACAAATGCAAAATGTGTTATTGTCAGCTGGCAGAAACTCTCAAAGCATGCAAGTGGCAGTTGGTGAAAAGAGTGAGGCTAGAAAGCTTTGTCTCAGGGAGAAGTGCTTTTTGAGCAGAGGAACACCGTGTTCTTGTGATTTACAGCCACACATAATGCTGTGCACCACCAATGACAAGAGTCACTTCAAAAATGATGGGATTGGACTGTTAATTAAGTTATGCTTTTCATACAAACTGACTTTTAATTCAGCTACCTCCAGTAAATTAAGCCATTTTAACCATGCTGTGCAATGCAAAGTTTTGCTGATATCTCTGAGTACTGTAGTGAGATATGGTATTAAAGAATTTGTCAACTGTTGAGAAAGAGTCATAGGCTCAAAGTAGTATTTTCCTTTCTTTTCAAATTAATTTCAATATTGTTTTTTGTTGCTGTCATTGTTCTGTTTGTTTGTTTTGTTTGTTTGTTTTTGTTTTTGTTGTTTGTTTGTTTTTTGGTGATGGTTGGGTTTTTTGCCTTTTTTTTTTTCTTTTTGGTAGAGGAGTATTTAATCTTCTGACTTTTCAAGAACAGAGCTCCTGCAAATAACACAATTGTACTTGGACGGCAGACTCAACAGAATTCAGTAATTTGTGACATAAGATATGAAAGTATCTTAATAGAATAGCTACTCTAACTCACGATTTAGTGTAGCAGAACAGTAAATTAAATAATCCCTAAAGTGATTAAGCTTTATGAAGTTTCAGGGGATTCATCAAATCTCCAGCAAGAACTGGCAGCTATGTGATAAACACACACCTGATGACTCATGTCAAATGGAAGAAAAATATAAAGCGATATATCACAGAGAACTAGGCATACGACAAATTAGGGGTTTGCTTTAATTTGCTTTTTAACCCCAAACTTTTACATTAGGAAATTCAAGCCTTAGTATAACAATAGGAGCAAATTCCTTTTCTGGCATTGAGAGATGGGCATTTTCTGGCATTGAGAGATCTCACTTCTGAGATTATCTAAGCCATTGCAAAAAACTTCCTATAGTTCAAGAAATACAGAAGACAATGAAAAAACGCAAGAAATAGTTTCATTGATAAACATTTAGCATGGCATAGATTTTGTGTGAAGTCTAAAAAGCGGAATGTATTTGCAGGAAGTTTTACATTGAAATGATCATCATTTTCTTACGCATCCAAAGCATCAACATTTTTCATGGTAGACTTAAAAGAGGAAAAAATCAAAGGGTTTTTTTAGCAGGCTGTACTGAAAGAACCACACAAATGTATCGCAGAGAAGTCCGCAGAGAGAGAGTGGCTTAAGGATCAGTACAGAAATACTATAATTAACTAGAAGAGAAAAAGCAGCTTGAACTCGTTAGAGAAAAATATGGAGACATGATGTGAGATGATTCAAAAAGGGAGGTACAACAGATGGTGGGCAGGGGAAAATGGTTTAAACAACAGCATTCTGTATGGAACAGAGAATATTAAGATGATCCTATCATTTCCAAATAGATCAGAAATATGAACTGAGGTGAGAATGATTTCTAGCCTTGAGTGAAGAATACATTGGAGATTCAGCCAGAAAAAAATAAGTTTCAGACTCAGAGGCTCGACTGCTTGTATTTTTCCATTGTAACAAAAGTATTTCCATCAGTTCTTGAGATGTGAAGTTCATATGAAGAACACGAGACATACTGAAGTACTGCATTGACAGCAAGTGTTAGTTTCAATTAAAGCTCCCAATCTTACTAGCTTTGCAGGTCACATCTGTCAGTTATCAGTGCTTTTAAATTAGAAATGTGGACTATATCAAAAAGAATCAGAAAAGTGGAACAAGAAGGCTTGCTAAATGTAGAGACGTGCATAATTACATGGCATGACTCCCTCCACTTCAACTTACCACAAAGACCATTACAAGCCCCTGTGACTGTTGATGTTAATCAGCAACTTTCACTTCTACCACTGGTCTAATCTGTATTCTTTTCTTTCTTCTGTAGTCTATTTATTTTAAAATCCTCATCAAAGAGGGTAGGAAAGCCTTGACTCCAGTGATCACCAGAGTCAGTTTCCAGCTGTTTCTATAATTACTTCACAGGTCATCAGGTTCTTAATCCCTAATTTCTTCTCACACCTCTGTTACCCCATGTCTGTTGGTAGATGTAGACGTTGATGTCAATACCCAGATGCCAACAGCAATGCATGCGGCTTATCAAATACTTTATTCTTTATCTAATTATTTATCTTGATTAAATATATCATGCATAGTACAACAGTAATTATAAATGAAAAAATATAGTGCAAGTCAAATTGGATTATAAACAGTATAACAGGGTAGCTTGCCCATCCACAATAAAACCATTTCTATCATGATTTACTCATGTGGGGTTGTGCAACATTGACATGAATCTCCCAGTTAAATTTCATCAGAGGAGAACAAAACCTCAGGTCTTGTAATCAGCCAAAATCCATTGCATTTTGGCTATCTGATGCAATGACACCAGTTGCAGAAAGACCACTTTGATTAGTATGGGTCTCTTTTGCTGCGAGACAATTATTTCCTCTTTATACTGTCCCCCTTTGTTGCAGCATGTTGTCCTTTTATGTTCTATTCAATCAGGATATGTCTATCTTTACTAAAGGAATAAGGGGGGAAAAAAATCTTTATCCAAATTTCTTATCCTTGAACTTACTTTCATCTAAAGTTACTATTAAAGGAGAAAAGGCAAAAAGGCTTGTTTCTTTACTGATTGATCTGGGTATCTTTACAACAGCTACTTGACACCAGTGCAGTCATTATGATCAAACAAACTCAACTGAAGTGTGTCAGTAAGCAGTCTTTGGTTGCTTTCCTTGATTTTAAACTAATGAAAGACTACAGTACAATGAAAGGTCCATGCCTGCATAGATAGACTGCAAAAGTCACATGGTGCCAAAGGACCACAAGTATGTATTTCAGGACAGCAAATATATTTCAGGTCTACAATAAAAACATTAAGACACTATAAGATCCTTGGCATTAACACTAGCATTATTTCCCTCAGCACTTTAAAATACAGTTTTATTCTGAGAAGTGAAATATATCTCAGGTTGTACACCTCTCCTAGGTTTAGATGCTTTCAATTCCCCCAAGACCTTGCGTCCAATGTTTCTGATTGACCAGCTACAGGCCTTCGGAAGCAGCTAGCCAGTAGAAAACACACTACCAAAATTTCACTGAGTTTTATTCTTTCTGAATCTGACATCTACTGTCTTGTTAACTTCCAAGATATTCATCTCAAATTGCAAAAGAAAGGATATATGTATTTTTCTGATAACTCCTGCCCTTCAAAATGAAACACTGGGCTGTTGCTTTTGATGGATCAGAACACAGTTGAGGATATCAAAATTTCATATCCTTCTCAGTTTGGCTTTGGGTCTACATTAATGAGAACTGTATCTACTCAAAGGCTGTCCTGCAGGAGGGAGAAGGAGTAAAAATTCACTGCTGGGCATAGTTTCTTCCTGAGCGGGCTGAGTATTTCTGTCTCCCAAATCCACCCACTCATGGGACCAAATAATTTGGCACTTGCTAATATGATCCTCTTTTTCCTTTCTTATAGTCCAGGATCAGTAGGGAAATAGTTAATCATGTTAATGCAAGTAACCACTGAGAACCTTCATCTCAGAGCTGCAGCAACTCAGATGTCATAGCAGATGTCATGGCTTTAGCACCATCCTGTTTGCAGTTCCAAAGTTTTCTTTACGATTGTAAGAGCTAGATGCAACAGGAATATGTGAAAACTTTGAAACCATAAACGGCATGGAACCAAACGAAGACATCTGCTTACGTTTTCAGAGAATCTGAGATGACAGCTCTGAAATGTGAGCTGCTCCAGCTGATCTTACAAATAAGATGCTTTCTGCTAGCCCTAGACTGTGATACAGCTATAATTAGGCTGCAGTTTCACACAGAGAATCCATTTTTCCTTGCATGAGTTTTTATGCTCAGCTATAAATAATGAGAACTTAATTTACATTTCTGCTGCTACGTCGAGGACTACAAGCCAGTTCTGTTGTCCCAATCTGTGCTGACTTCCCAGCTACAACTTGACTAAAACACAGTAATAAAGACTTAGCATTAAAATAAACCCAGAACTCCATACACTTACCAGAAATGTGTTTGATATTAGAATGCACTTATATACACATGCACAAAGGCATGCTTACACGGTCTGACTTCTCCACCAGTCTAAGTGGGTGAATAGCATGGCTATTATTATAGCCATATGATTATCAAAACACCTGATCATCAAGTGGAAAATAAATATATGTGAAACAATTTATTTTGTCTCTTCCGAGTTTGTAAAAAATAATGGATACTTTCATGTAGTGATTTTGACATGGGATTTTTATGGCCTGAGAATCTGAAACTCCAATGTTGGTAAGTGTTAATGACACCTCTGTGATAAAATCACACATGGGTATAGAGACAACTTTCTGACTCAGCTCTCTGAAGTCTCTCAGGGTAATCTTTGCTTCTGGCAGTAAAGGTATCAAAATTCATAAAAAACTGTGTGAAGAATACATTGTTCGACAGAAGAACTTCATTATAAAGAACCTAATATTGCTGAATGCAAGAACAAGGTTCACAATATGCTCCACTCACTGAAATATCTTCAAGTGATCACCCACAAGATTTGCGAACCTAAGAGAGCAGGAAGTCATCTGCCTCTATATTCCATCTGATACTTGAACTGGGAAGTATACAGAGGGTATTGTCAGTCATCTGCCTCCTATGCACAGTTGGTCGCAAATGAAATAAATGTGATCAAATGGGTAGCGTTAATCAGCAGCGAGAACAAAGGCACACCTACTTTTTTGAAAGAAAAAACGCGCATGGCACAGGCAGTAAAAAATCTTTGTGAAGCTGCTGCTTTTTCTACTCCAGCTCATCAGTGCTAGTGCACCTGGACCCTGAATATTTATGACAGTGAGATACATCTGTTAAATGTTCAGAAATAATTAGACTTTGCTGAAGCAAAGCTAATGAATTCCCCAGGAACTCTGGCAAAATAAACAGATGAAAGGTATTAATAAGCATTCTGTATTCTTTTTTTTTTTTTAATGTAAATGTTTTATTCCAGCACTGATTAATATTTCGTATAGTAATGTGTAGTTCAAGATTTTCTGTCCTTACCACTACAATTTCCCCATTTGCAACACTGCAAAATCCACACATTAACAAATCATGCAGTTTTATTTTACCTTTGCCTGCACCTACAGCAGGACGAGGAATACCAGCTTTAATGGAGGAAAACAAGAATAGGAACACTATATAATTAGATACAACACCAAAGGGAGCATACATATAAATAATTTCATTTTAAACCAGAAAAGCATGCAGACTAGATAAAATGTATTAATTCAAATAAATTAGAAACAATCTAGTTATGCTGAACACCGACAGACTACTACAAGACAGAAATTAATATACATGCATTTGCTAAATTTTTTTGGTCATGCTTGTTAAGACACGGTTTAAAATAAATGTAGTTTATATGCAACCTTAATACACTATTAGAAAAATTGCATTGCATACCAACTCATCTATATCGACTGAAATAAAACTGTAATTTCAGTAATCATAAAAATACATGAGAAGATGGTATCAAGATAGACCTTTAATATTAAGATGTGCAAAATCATAAAAGGCTTTCCCCCTATACTTCCCTTTTGTTTGAAATTACTCTTATTTTTTGAGCTTTCATAATTAAATAAATAGCATCTTCAACAAAAGAACTGCCAATATCCTAGAACTGTTACAAATGTAAAAATCAATAGTGACAGGATCAAACACTATAAATAAGGTTATTTAAATATACAATGTCACCAGTTACTTGTGGTCACAAATTAGAATTTTTTTTTTGGCATCTTTTTTGAAGATGTATTTTTTTGCCAGCTCTGTGGAAAAAGTTTAGACCTCTGTGGCATAGAGCTGCATCATTTCAGTATTATTCTCTGTAATTATGTATTATTCTCTGGAATGGAATAGCGTAAGGGAGTAATAGCACTTAAAATGTAAAGTTACATGAAATTTTGAAGCCAAAAAAAGCCAATGAATTAGGTCTTGTGAGTTTATATCAAAAAGATAGACTTTACACTTATTATGGGGCTTCCGCTACAGTAGAAAAACTTTGCACATCTTTTCCTAAAAACTATTTAAAATATTTTAACAGTATATAATAGAGTTGAAAAAGCCCTTGAGAATTTTTTATCAGGGACCATTTTCTTAATGGAAGGAAGCAGTAGTAATATTTTAAATAAAACTGGTAGTATTTTTTTAAACTCAGTGGGTTTTCTTTATACATACCCATCTTACCTTCATCCATAATTGTTACTGCCTCCTCGGTTATCTGACTTCCTGATCCAACTGATGTTTGTGCATTAAAGTAAAACTTGTATCGTGTGCTGTAATTTAAATTTTTTAATATCAAGCTGCTCTCGTTGGCGGGTATTCTTATCTCTACCAAGGGACCTAATTCATGTGTGTTGTTAACTGTTATTACAAGAAAAAACAAACAAACAAACAAAACCACAGTTACTTAGGAAAATTGCGTATGTTGTCATTGTATTAAAACAGACTTCGTTTTTCTGTATTTGTCTGCTGCATCGTTCATTTCCAGTCACTTAAATGATAACCTACTGTTTCCAAAGAAAATCACCTTTATATAAAAAGGAGAGGGACAAAAATTCAGAGGGGAGATAAGGAACATCTACAAGTTTCTTAAGCTCAAGGTCCATTCTTAGATTCAGTATCTGAATCTAAGTTACTAATTCCACATCAAACCAACTGAACGTACACACTTTTGAAACTTTGATCATTCAGCTCTCCGTATCTCTGAACTAACTGCTTCGGAATAAATTCAGTATGCTTAGGAATAAAAATACTGAAATGACTTCTAACACCAAGGAACAGTGGAATCTTGTAAAACAAACCGCTTTCATCTGTTCCAGGCATATGCCTAAACTCCTAATTGACAGTGCCATTGCTGATCAATTTCTGGGTAAGTAGGCAGTAGCATGTGGATCCTAAGGAAGGGACTGGCTGAATGGAAATAATGAGCAGTTTAATTTAAAGCTAGTATAACTCTGACATAAATGAATGGCACAGAGATGGTATTTTCATTTTAGAATAAAAACTGAAGAAGCAGACAACAATATAATTGGATGTATTTTGATCTACTGCTAATGATATTTTCTCTGCAGTCAGAATATAGGATTTATAAGTGCCTCTAACTTGGCTGACAATTAGGGTTTGAATAACCAAAAGTAATGGAAAAATGTTAACCTTGCACTTGAGCAAGTGGAATTTTCTAAATTGGGTCAGATATAATAATCTTTTGCAAACTTGACTTCTACAATGCAATCATATCTTTTGTACATTACAAATTTAGCATTCAATAAATGAATTACTATTCAGCAAACATATTGTAAAAGGTGTAAATATTCATAATTAACTTACTTGGTTGAAACTTCAGTATGTATGATATCAAAATACCATTTGGATGGGTAGGTGAACCCCACTCCAGAGTCAGAGAATCCAATGTTGGGTTAGTGATCTTCAAAAAGGAGGGTGAGCTAGGAACTTTTAAGAAGAATATATGGTAAATACAAAGTAGATGAACTTAAAACAGCTAATGAATTATTAAGCTCATGGATTATTACCATATTGAGCCAGATTATTATTTTATGATGTCCAACATGCAAATTCAGCAATTGCATCCTTAGTATACTCATTTTGAATACACCACATCTAACTTAATTCCTAAGTTTCCCATTTCATACCTCCTTCAGGTGTCTTAAATACTTTGTCTGGGCTTGCTGGTCCTTCTCCTTTGCCATTGACAACTCTAACATTCAGCTTGTAAGAACTATAGGGCTCCAGCCCTGGCAACATTCCAAAAGTCTTGTTTCCCCTGAAAGTCAAGATCTTTTTCTCTATATGTCGCTTACTCCTTCTGGATAGACTCTGTACTTTCCAGTAGTAAACCTAAAGAAAAAATAAAATCTATAGTGAGCATTGAGGTGTTCTGATTTTGCAAACTCTTAAGCTTTCCCATGTGTATCCATAAATTACAGGTAGGAATAACTGCAATTTTAACGAGCACCATAAAGGTTTCCTCCTTGTCTAGACACAGTCACGTCTACATGACTTGGTGAGGACTACCTACCATTTGCCTGTTCTGTTTATGCTCAAAGACACTTTGACACAAGTTCTGTTTTGGAACTGCATTTGTGTCTGACAATTCTCATATTAGCATCTGAGTGGGCAGATCATTTAAACCATCTATACTTGCAGTAATATGTCTACACAGCTTCCAAAGCAAACTTGGCACCTATTTATAGATGCCTTTCACCTGACTACACAAGATACATGTATATTCCCTGTGATGTGGAGGCCAAATAGATTTTTTTTTTAATGGAAAAAAAAAAAAAAGGCTGGAAAAACACACAAGTCATGAAAGGCCTCTGAGGATACTGTCCTGCAATGTACTCCACATATGGTCATAGGAGAAATATTCCTCCATTTATGTGATAAAAAGATCAGAGCACAAAGCTAATTCTGATGTCCATTCTGCTGATTTTCTTTCAAAGAAATTACAGAGCCTCACAGGTAATTACTGGAATCTCCTTGACTGCACTGTGTCTCTACCACAATTTCTGGAAAGACGTTAACACTTGTCCCTACAAAGACTTGTGTTAATCCTCTGACTATCACATTCATATGCATCATTGTTCATTTTACACGGCAAAATTTTCATGCATGTATTATCGGACACTAAAACTGATAAAGCAATGTAAATTGCTACAACTCTGTTTCTGTTTATGCCAACTGTAAAACACCTATTTAAGAATGCTAGGATTTCACGTGTGAATTCAAAAAAGGGAATTTTTAGGACTTACAAAGCCCAGATAGGTCACTTATAAAGAAATACACTAACACCAGCTTCCTATTGCTAACTGTGTATCATTTCACTCCAATTGCTAACTGCCACTGTGTTTTACATTGCTTGAGTTAATGTTTTTCAACACTATCAGTTGTCATCTTGCAATTCTCATTCTACCAACTAGTGCAGAAAGCCATTTATAAGTTAAGAAAAACTTGAGTTTATATTTGTATTGAAACTCATCGGGTATAGTTCCTTTCAAAATCACATTATTATAGTTGGGTCATCACTTATCCATAGCCAGGCTGAAATAGAAGGAGAGCTTTAATAAGCTAGGTTTGATAAGCAGCAATCTCTAAGACGAATATGACAGTAAGAGATTGCATTACATTTTTCGCCTATTGAATAACCACTGACATTATACAAATAACAAGAAAAAATGGCAGTAGTAACAGCAAAAACATTTTTTTTTTAAAGTTTCTTCTTAGGTTTGAAATGCTTCATAGTACCAAAGTATATCCAGTAACAACTAACTAATATAAAAACAAAATATAAGTGATATGGGGTATAGACTGTTACTAGATAGATGTCTTTCTGGTTTGTTTGTACATTTGTCTTCATGATACGAATCTTTAGAGAAATACGCTTCCCTTTGCTAAGAAATGCACCCTTAATTCAACACTGCATATTGGGCTACCATCTGAAATAATTTTATTACTTAGCAAAGCCTGCATTTCCTAGCAGGATTTTGTTGATATGTCTGAAAAGGGATAGTCATGTGCTATGTCAGTAAGACACTTAAAGCATATTCTGCTTCCATGAAAAGTTTTCAGCTTGACTTCAGAGAAAGCTTTATAACAATAACTATCCACTAGGTCTTAGGATGTGTCATTCCTTGTCTAGGTTTAGCTTGATTTAGCTGTATCTGCAAAAATTATTTAAGAAAGTTCTGCTGCATCTGCAACTTATTCAAGGATATACCATTGTCTCATTTGTCCTAGCTGCAAGAGCAAAAATATTCAGTGGTCAGGTTAGTTGTTAATTTTGCAGTCTTGAGCTTGTTTTATTTATGTTTATTGCCTAACATTTTAGCTTCAAAATTGCTTAGCTTTGTGTAATTGTGTGGTTCTTCTCCCCACACAATATCCCCTTCTCCCCATTTTTTTTTTTAAAGCTAAAAAAATGTACAATATATAGAGAAGACTATCAGACTAGACAAGTAACCATGGCATGACTAATTCATTAGGTAACTGGAGAGGCAAGAGTGCAACCCATTACTAAATAAAGGAGAGAAAATAAACCTGGGATGATGATAACTCTCTGTAACTATGCCTTTGTAGTGTGAGAATACTGGATGCACTGGTAAACATTTTTGTCTACTCCTTTTTTGCATTAATACTGATCTTTTGTAGAAATATGCTGATTTGGGTTATGGTCATTAGCATTGTGGTAACAAGAATAACATCAAGCATTAACTTCACTAAATTCTAATTGTCACATAATGGTTTTTGGTCTCCCATTTGCTTGTGAAATACCAGGTTGACATGAGACTATAATCTACCAGATAGTGATATGAACTAGTAAGTCCTGCTCCTCAGCCAGTTTTATTACCTAGGGCAAAGCACCAGAACAACTACAAATACTTATGTTAGCTCATTATAAAACTAGTTGAAGTCTCTCCAGACAGTGGTATTTTGTGCCAGATAAGTCACATCCACATAACAGGAACTCAACAAGCTGTAACACAGAGAAGTTTGGATTCAATGCTCTTGAATGTTAGCCCTCCATTTTACAAGTATTACATGCATTTCTTTTCCTCCAAATATGTTCCTCCTTTCATTTTTTTTTTCCAATATTTCTTTTCCTCCTTTCATTTAAAAAGTAGTTCAAATTAGTCTGTCTTACAAAGTAACCTAGTTCAGGCTGTGCAACTACTCTGTTCTGATAGAACATTTATTCCTATAGTTGCAAAAGAGTAGAGGAGTAATTACTTGTTACTTTCTTCTACTGTTGCACAGGAGGTCAATGTATCCTCTCACTCCACCCTCCTCTGCCCAACTAGTCCACCATGCTTCTGCAGGTCCAAGTTTCTTCTGTGTTTCTCGTGCGACCTCTGAAGCAACTTGTGTGATCTGATTTTCCCTGATCTGCTGAGGTTGCCCCAGTTTCTTACCCTGAAGTCCTTCTGTCTCCCATTCTCTATTAAATGCAGTCTTTTGTTTCCAACAAAGACTTCTTAGTCATCACCAAAGCCAGTGCATTACCTTACATTAAGCTTCCTTCAGTTATATGCGTACTCCAAACCATCCACCTTTTCTACTCTCTCTAAACTGAGCTTTTTGCTGACCTCTAAAGACACAACTCCAAGCTAGTAATTGGCTAGTTAGAATTACGTGACTAATCATGCTATGGTACAAGAAGAGCAATCACAAAACAGTTTTCAATAGCATTAGACCTAAAAGAGACTCCAACAGAAACTATTGCTCCTCATCCTCTAGGTATCCTTCCGGAAAAAAAAAAAATCTGTAAAACTATTATATATTTTTAAAATCTATGTAATGTGTGCAAGCTTAATTGCAGGCACATCCAATTTTTTTTTGAGGACAATGTCACAAGAGACTAATACTAAAAGGCTGGAACCCTGCCGAATTTTAAATGAGTAATTTGAATGCTGTTGCTCTTGTCAGCAAAACTTGTGAGCTCACTGAAAAGCAAGAATCCTCTTACACATCAGTTACTTCAATCTGGATACAATCTCATATAGGAAGAGTGATCTCTTATATTAAATGAGGGATAGAAAGCTTTTGACTGTACTTACTTTGTACCCTTGAAGATGTCCTCGGACACTTTTTAGTGGAACTGGGTCCCAGTGCACCTTTGCCAGTGTGCTGTTAATAACATGAACCTGCACATTGCCTGGTGCAACCATTGGCACTGTGAGGAAAAAAAAGATGTAACAAGTACCTAGTTAGAATCAGACACCACATGAACATTTTTGGATTTACTCTTTACATTCCTTTCAAAGAGTAGGTTAAAAAGCTGATCCTGTGTGTTAAAAAGCTGACCTCAACACTAATACTACAGAGTTTTATGAACCCTTATTATCCCCACCTTACTTCATTTTAATTTTTTAAATATCTACTATACTACATACTTTTTAATACTTTAATATTTTGAATTCCCATTTAGGTTACACATTTAGTCACTTTTAATTAGTACCACTGAGTCAAACTAGGAAACTTACAGTCTTCCCCTGAATGTCCAATCACCTCTGATGGTTCTGGTGCATATCCCAGGTCATTTAAAGCCTGTACTTTTATTTCATAGGGAACAAAAGTTGGTGTACCAGACACAATATATTTAGACACATTTGCAACTACAACAGATGTCCATTCATCATCAACATCTTTCTGACGCCAGCTGACTTTGTACTGAAGTCCTGGTCCATTAGACTGAAAACCTTTCAAAGACTGAAATAAAAAGAGTAAATCAAACTGTTTTTTAAATATTCTGAAGCATCTCAAAAGAAAATTTAGAGTCACAAAGTTATCAATTTACAATTTTACTGAAAATTTATCACTGTGTTCTATGACAGGGATGCAGCAGTGCTGAAATTTCCAAGCATTGTAATTTATTTCTTACATGAGGTCAGTTCAGTTGCTCCTCATTTAATAGTAAAATTTACATTGAGTCTCGTCAATAAAAGACTGGCTAATTATCATACAACCATCATTCATTGGGATTTCTATGCACATTTTTTGTTTTCAAATATTCTTTTAGAAGTGGAAAGAGAAGTAGATTTGCACCAGCTCCCTATAAACTGTTTTCCCTAGAGAATGTTTCTTGCCTAGGATGGGAAGTTGGTTTTACATGGCTCTCCAGAGCTCCTGTCGTGATGTTAAGGGCATAATAGAGGCATAAAAGTTTTTTAGTGGAAGAGTGCACAACAATTCAGCTTACCACAGAAGCTGAGGGTAGAATTAATCTACTTTAGAATATGTCCTAAAAATAACAATCTACTTGAGATAAATCACAATTTACATATTTAAGTTTTTTCTACATTGGCAGCAAAACATGCTGTATTACCAAATTAGTGGATTATCTTAGAGAAATCGGTAAGGAAAACAAGGCACTTTGAAAAAAGATTTTTCTTTGATAACGCATGCAGCTTTTCCTTGAAAGTGAAGAATAGGAAATGTCTACATTTGTTCTCTTTCAAGAATATCATAAACACACAACACATATATTATTTCACAGGGTATTCTCAGGTAGATCATTGTTATTTCTCTAAAAACAAAAACATTCTACAAAAATGCTACTCACAGAGCTGAAAACAAGCAAACGAAACCTCCTAAATCCCCAAACTTACCTCCCATGTTATTACCAAATTATCAGGTTCTGAGCCTATCCCTTGTACATTAGAAGGATTTTCATCAGGGTCTGAAAACAAAATATTTACACATGAACAAGAATGACTGCTACTTCCATTCCAAGCAAATTTGATGCTATTCATAGCATAAATCAATCACTAGTAAGCAGAAATACTTATTTACTTGCAGATTTTGTCAGGTACTGCTCAGATGGTTCACTTGGCTGACTTCTACCAATTTCATTGACAGCTATCACACGGAATGAGTAGTTGACATATGGAGACAACTTCAACTGTACTGTTGTCTGAGATCCAGGAACTTCCGTCTGGTAATGCCATACCCCTGGCTCATGCAGTCCATCTTCATATTCAATCACAAAGCCTGCAAACAGGAATTGAATCCAATTTTATGTCAAAACTTGCAACACCTTCCTAGATCAGTGTAGCCGTTTTTGAACAAGCTAATCAAAACTGAGCAATCCAACTAACGTTTTTAAAAATCATGGAAACGGAAGTACATAGGACATATGTATGCAAGGTGGTTCTGAAAGGTACTACATAGATAGAAATGTAAGAGAAACGGTCTTTCATTATTTCATATTACTAATGCAGTTGTCAGGCAACACATTATTACAAGAGCTCTCTGTCAGGTGCTGGATTTTAATATAACAGGAACCCTTGAACTATCACAGCAAGAAAGTGAGACAAGATTGGAATTTTGATATAAAAGGAGTATTTGGCAAACAAATATGTTGCTCCTAGTTGTATCAAGCTGACAATAAAGCAGCGCCTATACAATTTTAAATGAGAGTATTCCATTTTCCCCAGTGAAACTGTCTTAGTGAAAAACTATTTAAAGTCAAGAACCAATACTTAAAGAAGATTTTTGAGTGCACTTTCAGTACCTTCAAATTAAGCCACAGAATTCATGTACAGAAGCTAAATTACTTGAGGGTTCTCTGTGTGAATATGATTGCAGTCAAGACCCTACGGTGTACACAACCTCAGGTATAAATAGATTTGTAGAACTCCAAAAAGAAAATCATTTTCATTACCAGAAACAAAAGGACCATTTATCTTCAGCTGTCAAACTGCCAGAAAAGAGATTCTAGTGTGTGAATCATATTACTTGTGTAAAAGGATCTTTTATAATGAAGTGTAATCTTTGAGTCTTTTTTTTTTAATCTTTTTTAAGTGATAGCAGCAGCATTAACAGGCTTACTTATGAAGCAAATGTCTTATAATGTCTTATTTTGCAAGCTCTCAGTGGACAACACGAGAATTTAAATTGTATTGTAATTAAACCCAGCATTATTTATTTGGAAGAGTTCAATTTCCAGTATCAGACCGTATGCAGCAGAAAAACTGATACAAGCCACCAGCTATTATCATCTCTTTTGAGACAGTGTGAATGCCTTTCAATAGAAAAGCCAGACTTTGTCATCTTGTCTGGAAAACAATCAATGCATTGACACAAGAGTATACGAATAAGCTATAACTTAAATGCAATTCAACTGTTTATATGAATCTAAAAAAAAAAGCCAGACAAAAAACAAACATAAACCCCCTCCCAAACAATCAAACAAACAAACAAACAAAAAAAACCACAACCTTCTGGTCTGTATTTTCATTAAGCACAGGCTTCTGTCACTGGTAGTCATGGATAATCTAAAGATACTGGTACTGATGCTATGTCAAATTCATGGGAAGTACTGGAAATGTTAGTAGATTTCTATTTAAGATGCACATACAAGTGACTTTCTACTCATTCAACTAATGAACAAGTCTGCTCTCTGCATATTCATAAGACTGGACATAATCATACAGAGCTCAAACCAGTATCATCTTCTGTGTTAACTAGCACAGGTTTTTGGAACAAAAGCCCAGCTCTTTAGGGCATTAAATAAGTCTTTCAGCTTGGAAGTGCAGTAGAGGATAACGAATGAATTTTTGTTATGTAAATACATGGCAATTCACACAATCACAGAATCCTTAAGGTTGGAAGAGACCTTCAAATTTTAGCAAGTGAATTTGCCATTCTTCCATGCTGCACACAACATTTATATTAGAACTTTTGGGGATCTAAGAAGAGTTAAGGTAATTCTGTTACAATGGATACAGACAAACATACTTGTAATAGGACTGTTATTTTCATCTCCTGGTATCCATGAGAGTTCAATGCTTCTTTCTAGCTGACCTGTCAATTCCAAGTCAAAGGGTGGATTTGGCCGAGCTGTAAATCAAATGAACACAAAGCAAATAATCACAATAGAATATGGAGTTTCATCTGTGAAAAAATCCTTACATTCCAATCAAAAGAATTCCACAGATACAGCAGTAATGACTGTTAGCATGCAGTTTTCACAAAACAGATACAAAACGGAGAAATTATATATCCGGAAACTTCCATACATTAACATGAATCTATATTTGATTTTATCCCCATCTGATTGTGATATAAAATGTGATACAAAAATGTAATGAAAAGTACAGAAATATGAAATGCATGTTTAGTTTATCTATGAATGAGTGGTATTGTATTGTAACTAGAAATATTTAATAGGATGGAAAATAAAGAACTCACATCAAAGAAGGTTTTCTAGAATCACCACAAATATTTTTGCATGTGAATTCAAAGCAAGTATAGTGTAAATGGAAACTAATTGTGGGTTTCTAAGCCATTTATTTTTGTGTTACTTTTTAGAAAACCTGAAACATCAAACAATCTGGTAATATACATCCACATAATGCATGAAGATGTAAATATCCATTTCAAATTGCTGAATTTGTTATATGAATTGTTACACAAAAATTAAGACTAATGAGTAAGTTCACTTAAGAATGCATAAACATTTTCTCAAAACTTGATAGGACTTACATAAATGTACTCATTGCTCATATTTAAAAGTGTTTTGGGCATATTATATAGCATTTAAACACCCAAATTCAGAAAAAAAAAATGCTATCAAATTAATGGGTGCATGGTGTCCAGTTTAAGACTGTACGACTGACAGATTTTGAGGGTATTTTAACTTTAATTTCACAATCCTTATTAGCAGTTTCATCAATCATTACCAAAACTGGGCAATAAGATTCTACCAATTTTATGAGTGAGGTAAAAGGAAGACAAACTATGAAATAAAGTACTCCATGCCTAGAAAGTTGGTATCAAAAGCAAAGGAAAAGCATATCACAATTTAGTTGGTGCAAATTCTTTGATAGTGAATTAGCTTTCAATGAACTGCTGGATTTATCTTTTAAACCTTTCATCTATTATTATAACTGATTTGTATTACAATATTCATGATGAGAAAAACATTATCACACTATAGCCTGATTTAAAAGTAATTGATATCTTAAAACCATTTATTCCCTAAAATACAAAGCTCCCTGCACTGTGAAATTCCAAAGTCCAGCCTTCCAATAATGAAGCAGTTGGTAAAATGGGATGAAAACACAAAACAAACACACATACACACACAAAAACACAGAAAAAAAAGGGGGGGGAGGGAGGAAGATGTTGCACTTTCCAACAGGCAAATGAGAAGTATATCTGGCAGATGATGTAGGAAGGGAACTTTGTATTAGTTTACCGTAAATGATAGCTGGAGTTGGGGGAGCAGCTGAAAAGAACATTAATATAGAGGATTTAATCAGTTAGTAGCCAAAGGCACAGAGTATAGTAAGTAGTTATAGACTGTAATAATTAGAGAGAAAGAAAAGTTAACTTACAGTAAATAGTTGGGTTTAAATAATATGTTGATAATTTTTCACTGAAAAGTGATAAAGGTATTCTACAATAATTTATCTTTTTTTTTTTTAATATGAATGGATCAAGAAAACAAACATTAAAAAAACTTTTTAAAAGTACTAGATGCTTGTTAAGTACTATATGTCATTCCTGAATAGGCGTAATATTATAACACAATTTTAAAACACAAGCTTTCAGCTTGAACTGGTCCAACTTAACTTCACCAGGTAAGAATAATATGGGACATCTACTTAGGACCTCCTCACAAACTGGGAGAAGGAGCACAGTAACATATTTTACAATAATCTGAACTCATAGAAAGTTAACAAGGTGAAGGAATTTAATAACAAAGTCACTGAGAAGTCAAACAATCAAGCATGCTCAGTCTTTCTGAAGAGTAATTCAGCTGCAAAAGAGTTTCCTGAAATAACATGTTCAAATATTCTGCAATATGCAATTTACTGTGTTAACTCAGGTGTGATACAAATAGAAATCTATACCGGAAACTGAATGTGTCCTGAAGCTGTTGGACCCCTTTGTAAGTAGACGATTCAAAGGCAAATTTTCAGGTAAGATTATTATATTTTCGAACTGAAACACATACAAAATTTGGTGAAATTCCTTTTTTCCTGTCCTAGCAACCAAAATTATGTTTGTGCTTTTCATTTTAAATCTATTGCTGTTTTTATACTTAACAGAAATTAAACACAGTATTGCTATCATAAAGTTTTAGAGTATTCTTACCAACAACAGTAAGCACAGCACTTGCTGAAACACTGTCCAGAGTAGTATTAACTATGCAAGTATATGTTCCATCATCTTTATCAGTTACATTCATAATGGTCAAGTTGTCTTTACCAACTAGAAACCTGTAAATACAATAGGTTCAGCCACTGAATCAATAACTGGTACTGTTATAAGAAACTGTTATATTGTCAAATCCCATGCACTTGTGTATTTCAGCAAATATCTAGACAACAGTGTAGGCTATGGGACCGTGTCAGCCTTTTCTACATTGCTCTTAACTATCTTCCCACAGTAACTACCTATTCTAATGCATTTATATTTCCAAATATGCTCAACTTTTAATTATCTGTGATCTACAGCAAAATTGTCTTCCCTTTATTATTATCCCTTTAGTTTCTTATGCCAATTATCCTTACTATTTATATACATTATTAGTGTACATTTAAAATAAATTACATCTCATTTTATTCTGAATTATATCTTAATATTTTCACTACACTAGACAAGTCTTTTAGTCATCAAATATGGGATAGTGATGATACTTAGCAGTCTTGTTTGGAAATTGTCAATAGGTCATTATGTGACTTTTAAAAGAACAGGAAAAGGAGTACATGGAGGAAATGAGAAAATAAAAAATAAAGACAAAATAGTTTGTCTATACCTCTCATCATCTGGCAGTTCATCATTGTCCTTCAACCATATAACTGTTGGTATTAAGGTAGAATCGTGTTTTATTATACACTCAAATGAAACGTGGCCATATCTCTGAATCACTTTGTATTCTGGCTGTTTGATTATCAACGTTGGGTCTGAAATTTAAAATTACTATTAGATATTTAGAAAGTTTTAAATTCTATATTAATCTGTGATGAAAGAGTGATTAATTTCTTACCTTTAACTTCCAATTGTACTTCATTTTGTATCTTTCCTAATTCATTCCTTGCAACGCATGTGTATGTGCCGCTACTATCCTTCTGAGCCACTGGAATTTCCAAGGTTCCATTATCATGGAAAACGTATTCATTTCCCCGCAGGATGCTGCCTTTCACTCCCTTAAACCTTTATACAAAAGGTAGATATTATTATCCAACATCATACTTAAATTCTATCATATTTTATTAACATGAAATACAAACTTGGACTACTACATTAGCAACTACAGACAGCATCACATAATGAAATTTAAACTTGATTCTATATGGGTAGCTTAAATGTTACTACATCAAGTATAATTAATATTGTATTAGCATATTGAAATTATCTTAAGTTTGATGATATACAGTTTCTAAATTGTAAATAGAGTCTAAATGTTTGTTTCCACAGAAGCAACTGCCTCTTTTTACATAATTTGAACACAACAACTGTAACTTACCATTCAATCTCAGGTTTAGGTGAACCAAAATAAGCACAGTCTATTAATGCAGGACTATCTAAGATGACTTGATACAGTTTATTAGCAGGAGTTAGAATTCTTGGTGGCTCAGCTGAAAAGACAAAGATGTCTGGATATAGATACAAGGATACAAATACAAAATATGAAGGCATCAAGTAGGGCCTAAAGAGTATCCATTAACATCCTTCTCTGAAGTGGTTTCTGGTCTCAGCTTTGTTTTACTACTATTAGCCTGGGGAAACATTAATGTAGCAGAATTTTCATGTGAAAAGTAAATGTTTCTTCCCTGTTTACAAGTAACAGGGATGGATACCAAAGCCTGTGATTTAATTTGGAATATTTAAATCAGAACATACTTCACAAAGAGAAACTCATGGGAACAGACTGAACTAAGTAATTCTGAAAAACCCTTAAGGCAGAAAGATCTATTTGGTGAAACGCCTCCATTTTTGATCAGAATCATGGACTCAAAATGAGGTTCTCTCTTTTAAAAGACTGTCACTCTGTCACTCAAAGGATCTGCCAGTTCCTGCAGGATAGTCTTCAGGGGCCATTCTGCCTTGGATTTTGCTACTAACTTTGTTAAATTCAGTGGGAAGATCAAGAGGTCACAATTATCTCACAACTTGAAACGCATCCTTGGAGGCCTTAAAGCCAAATGTATAATCATGTCCCCTCACAATAGCAATTTAAAGATTATCTTTTCTATGATGGGGTTTAGCTGAGTCTTTTCCAGGGATTATCTGAATCCAGGATCACTGCACAATTAGAATGTGTTCTATACTGCAGTTTTCAGGTGGAACAAGTATTTAACTGATCCAAAACACCAACCATCAATGAAAGTGTACTGAAACATACTAACTTAAAGAATATTAATTCCTGCCTTATTTGTTATGCTTATGTTTGTTATGATTTACATTAAGAAAAAATTAAAAAGAGATAAAATTTCTGCCAAGTTTCCTCCAGCTTCCACAACCAACCTTCTTACCTAGGAGCAGTGAAAGGGAAATTCAGGAATATCCTACAAAAACAACCCCAAGGTATCTATACCCTGGGCTTTTACAAAGCTCAGGAAATATGTATATTCCCACATATTAAAGACCTCAACCAAGGCTTGGGCATGCAATTTGTATAGTAGCAGGAGACGACTAAATACCCACGAAGACTGAAAAATATAAAAATGTGTTTCTTACCCAGAACATTCACAAATGCATTTGCTAGCAAGTATCCATACTCATTAGAAGCATTGCACTGATAGACAGCACTTGATCTTTCTTGCACAGCTGAGAAAATAATGGTATCACCATCCACCTTTCTGCTAGGATCTTCTGGGGCAACTGTTGGTATAATGAAAGAAAGTAATTTTCCTAAACTGCCATTGCATAACATGTTTCATACTTCTGAAAAGAAGAAACAAAATGAAAGACCAATATGCCCTTTGTTCTACTTTCATGCATGACTGTTCACTGGGCAAAATGTGAATTCCAGTATGATTAAAGAAGTTATTCCAGCTCTACACACATTTAATTGTTAAATTTTTGTCTTTTTTTTTTTTCCCCAAAAAAATTGAAGTTAAGATCATATTTTGCATGCAATAAACATGAAAAACACTGACGTGGCAAGATTCGGAGAAATACAGACAATATCTACAAAAATAAATATTTCTGAACATCAAAAGAAACTTGTTAGAATTACATTGAAACTTTACAGCCTCTGTGATTTAAAAGCTTCTGCTTGTTGTATCAGTTTTTATACACAGAAATAATTCTCCAGATATAAGATCAGCCTTAGTCAGTTGCAAACTACCTCAAAGTAAAACACAATTAATTGTTTTGTACAAAATCAAGTCTTCTCAATAGCTGTGTTAGCAGTTCAGTAGGTGGCACTCTTTCCCTGATATAAGTATTACACAGTGCTATTTCTTCAACTACTCTGTAGTAGCATGAGCTGTCAAACAGCTCCTGCATCACAGAATAATTCAGAACGTATCCGAAAATAAAATTCAGAGATATTGCTGAAGAATAATAGCTGTCAGTTATCATACAACTGGATGAAGTTATAGGGGTACAACAGAGAAAATAACAGCTTGTAACACTGCACTGCATAAAAATGGACAAATTATACTGTCATTTAAAAAATTAAAGCAGAAACATATTAACATATTGTTAATTAAATGTATTGGTAAACTTATTGTTATATTAATATGAAAAATAAATGCATATATGACTTAATGAACACATTGTAGTATGGTTGCATCATCAAAATTGAAGGTTGAGAAAATAAGCATATTTGTGGAACACTTTTTCATATAAAATTATTTCTGATTTCTTTGGATTCATAGAGAAGATCGATTAAATAAATTAATATATATTTTCTGTAAGTGACAAAACCTTTTGATTCTGACTATATCTCAGTACTCAACTGCACAGAGAAATTTATCTTACATTTTCTCAGGTCTACTGAAATATTGATTACTGAATTCTCTAAGAGAGAAGAAACCAGATGACAGGGACTCCAGATCTGAGCTCCTGCTTAAAGACATTTCCATTGTTGGTGAACCCCAAGGCTACTTTGTATATAAAGTAACGACATCAATTTTCAGATACCTCAAGAACAATTCTCAACTCCATTTTTAACTCCTATCTTAAATCACTCGGAGTTAAGATCAATACAACAAATTAAAATTTTTTGAAATCAAGAAAAAGGTACAACAAGAATTGTAAATCCTTTACTATTCTCTGGGCTACTGCATTGCTGGCACTTATTTTTCTCCTTTTTGGCTTTGCTTCCTCTTGTGTTCTGTGTTACACATTTCTTCATGTTCCCATGTGAATGACATTTTCATTAAAAGATTCATGGGCTGAAAATAGACAGAGCAGGTGAGTAGCCCAGCAGGCAGGCCAGTCATCTGTGAGAAGCGGTCTGTTTCTGCACACACATCACAGTTAAATGGAAAATACATGCTACCGCACTCCCAGGAGGCAGGTCTGCCCAGAGCTGCTCTGCCCCATGCTCTGTGCATCCCTCCACTCATCCCCTCTGAATCCCAAACCATTTTTTCAGCACCTGGATGCCTGTTCTAACAAAAAAATCTGTGGGTCCTAGGAGAAAAATAAAAAACAAGAACAAAAACCAAAGGAAGTATCATTTTTTTTGTCTGGTCTAGCTACCTGCATGCTGAAGAGCATCGTGTTGAGATTGGTGTCTACTCAGTATACTATCTTGTGACACATCTCATTCTCCCACACAACACAGACACAACCCACAGGTCTTTGTCCATGCATTACACTGCATCTTGCAGGGCCAAGCCCTAAAAGTTAGGCACCCAGCTGCTTTGCTGCTGTGCTCACACACTGCTCATTGGCTTTTATGAGGACTCTGGTCACCTTACACGATGGTTGTGTGAAAAGGAGAAAATGCTTTCAACACGTTTGATGGGTATAAATTTGGTGCTGACAGGCAAAATAACAAAGAATTACGTAATACTAAAAATGGGTGTGCACAACTGGGATTATGAATGTTGAGGATTTGCTATAAAGGTTCTGCTGTAGTAATGGAGAGTTGAGCATGTGTTCTGTAACAGCAACATCCAGTTACAAAATCACTGAGTCTCAATTTAAGAACATGCTTACATCATTTCTGCCCAAAGACCTGATTGCCTTTCTTCACATTATTTTTCCATCACATTGTGTAACAAGACAGCTTCTTGACTATACAGCTACATACAGCCTATTTCTGCATAGACAAGGTATAGCCTCTAGGAGATACGCTTGTCACAGCCAGCTATTGGCACTCTGAACAACGTCTGTTCATCTGAATGCATATTCTCATTCTGTTTCATAAGCTTTTGACAGCCCCAGCAATTACTTCTGTTAGCATGTTTAAAGAACCACTATGGCACTTTTTTTTTTTTTCCTGTGTAAAAGACAGAATGAAATGTGCTGTCTTAACAGAAACAATTAAGATGCATGATTATACTTAAAACGGGAAGAAAATCTCCAGATTTTGCTGAGATTTGTTTACCCTCTTCTATTAAAGTATTTCATTTTCCTGATCAGTTCTACTTGCTGGTCAGTATTTATTTGTGCGCTCTCAGGAAGCTAAACAAATGAAGATCAGAACAACTGTCAACTGCAGTCTACAATATAACATTATCAGTCCAAATGAATGATACAGCCTGAAGAAGTCTAAGAAAAGAATGCATTTTTTTTCAGAAAATTATTAGATCACGAAATACATTTACTGATTTTACAATTCTGTAGCTTTAAATCTTTAAGTCTTTAAGATCTTTGCAAAATTGGAACATACAATCCATCACTTGGAGTTTTTTTTGTTTTGTTTTTTAAGCTTAAACATATAAAAAAAACAAAGAGGGTGGTAAGACCCTGGAACAGGTTGCCCAAGGAGGTTATACAGTCTCTTTCGTAGAGATAATCAGAATCTGAATGGACACTCATGAGCAACCCTGATGCTGATAAAACCTTCCTTTGAGGAGGCAGATTGGACCAGATAAACTCTACCTCCTTCCAACTATTTTATGATGTTGTGATATTAAAACGAAATATTTTAATATTAAAAACATAGACCGACAATAAGGCATTACTCACTGAGAAGGAGGTATGTGATTGCTATTCTGTAATTTACTGTTGTTCACAAAAAGGTTCATGTGAAATCGAGAATTCCTGACATCTGAGTTTATTATACTGGTACCACATTCTGAAATACAACAGCGGATGCAATCTAGCTGACATCAGATGTTCTCAGCTTTGCTAACTCAGAGTCTAATTCCCACAGGGCACAGAATTAAGAATATTTTTCTTGTTGCCTGAGAAGCATGATGTAACCTAAGGTAATATATATATTTTTTCCCAGAGGCATGTGTAGATTACAACCTTAGTTTTCAGGATATATGCACTGTTTCTATTCTATAATGAAAATGTTGATGTCATCTTCAGATGTTGTAGTAGAGATTCCCTCTGGCTGAAAACAAGCTGGAGAAGACAGAAACTAATTTTTTTGATTTTCCTGTATCAATCACAACATATACACCTTTGGCAGGTGTAAGAGCTAATTTTATCCAGATCAGTAAAAAGTTGAATAAAAACACAGTACAAACAGATAATTTCTCTTTAGAAAAGAATAGAGATATTAATGACTGTCTTTAGATGCCTGCATTTTTTAAGCAAATCAAAGTTATGAATAAAAAATAATTATAACTGCGATGCATTTGCAGTCACTATATATGATTGTTGAAAAACCTTTCACATAGCAAATTTTATTATTTTTTAATTTATGAATAAGATGGTTTCAGAGTAGAGAACTATACAGGAAATGCAAAAATTGATAGCAATGTAAGAACAGAAATTGTTGTTTAAGTGTTATAGTTCACAGTCACTCTTTAACCTCTACTATTAGTAAAGCTGACTTTTCATTTTGCATCAGTAGAATATTAATTTCTCAGAGAATCTGAGACAATTATTTGATTTAGATTATTATACTGAAAATTTGTTGTTGTAGGTCTGCTTCATACTATAATTGTGTTCTCAAGTTCATGCACAATTAATAGTGAATGTAAGTGGGGCCTGAGAACACTACTGGCTCATAAGGCATGATTTTCAAAAACCCTAAAAAAAAAAAAAAAAAAAAAGCAAAGAGAGAAGGCTAGGGTTTTTTTTTCTGATATGGATTTAGACATATGGTCCTTATATAATGATGCCTTTCAGGTTCTGATAGGATCACAGGATCTCTTGTATTACAGCAAATTTGCTAAAAGCAACCTATCATTCTTCTTTACCTGCTTATTCCTCCAAAAAGTCATGTTCACAAGTAATTTATAAATAAAGTAACTGTTCTCAAAATGAGGAAGGTCTATCTTAGCTACAACTTGAGTGACTGAAATGGCAGTTTTGAAGAATTATTTATAAAAGGTTAGACATTCATATTCTGATGTATTACCTATAACAATGGGAGAATGTCACAGAACCAGGACTTAACATTAACAACCAACCAAACAAGAAAACTAGGAGGGACTTCCAGTGTGTGGTCACCAAGCTGTACTGATAAGAAGTCATGCCCCTTATGCAGGCACCTCCCATTTTTTTTTATAAATGATATGGTCTCTGAATGAGCATCCAGTTAACATACTTTTGGCTACAGCTGACTAGCCTCATAACATTTGAGAACCCAAATCAGGGGACATTATGTAGGACAGACCTGTTCTATCTGATCTCTCATCATTTTGCCTAAATACTATATTAGGCGTTCAGAGAACCTTATGCAACTAGAATCCCTCATTCTTCCCGTGGGATAGGGCAGATGACAAAGAAAGGAGAAGAAAGGGATTTTAAACAATATTTTGCCTTACTTGGGTGAACTTTCACAGTCACATAGAGCTATAGATGTATTTCTGCACAGACGCGTATAGTTCCAGTGGTATGCGCAGAAAGGTTGTGGGTTCTGACAAAGCAGAGGCCTTGACGATACTTTCAGAGATGAGTATAAACCGGACAAAAGCTGGTAGTAAAATAGCAAGACTGGACAGTCATCAGACAGACCTGAAAATCTGTAAGGTCATACTGACACTGAAACTAAGCAAGGAAAACAAGAAACTTGAGTAATACAACTTTGCCTTACCCTACACCCTACAGTCAACAGTCAGAGACTTAATTCTGGAAGAGATAGCAAGAGATGGAAGAAGTGCTCTTTTCCTTTTTCTAACATCTCACTTGTTCCTCAGAAAAATACTTTCATGTGATCCCTGCAATCCTTGTTCCAGGGTGAGATGTTTTGGTAGATTTTGGTAGTGCTGTTAACTCCAAAGGGATGGCAGGCTAGCCACAACTGTCCTTTGGCTATCTTGTGCAGAATAAGTAAAACTGATTATCAGAGGTTCTCCTGTCTGCCACAGCTCCTAGGCCAGATGCACAGTTCCAGCATCACGACAGCAGAAGTGGTGGATGCCTGCCTGCCCTGGCACTTCCCTCCTCTGTGAGGCTCAGCTCCTCAAGGTGTCAGAGACCCGGCAGATTTCATCCCACCCTCCCATAGCCACGATGAACAGCTTGTGTGTATACTCACAGAGAACACGACGGATGACAAATCTGTGAGCCAGGGATTATCGAGGCCTTTCATGAAGGAAATGTAAGGGCTAATGTTTCCCCCTTAACTTCAATGTGATTAATAATGGAGACTAACTAAAAAGTGAGATTCAATGTGAGACGTAATATAAACAAGTGAAGCACGTGTTGACAGAAGATAAACAGCGCCTTTCAGTGCACTACTTTGTCTAAATCTAAGTGTGTGTATTTAATATTTAATAGCTCATCATGAACTATGAACTACTGAACCAATAAATTAGTCTTTTGTGCAGTATTTGCAATGCTCTTCTGAAGCCCAATTATGAAAGTGCTTCCCCTTCCCAATTAATCCGGGTTGTTACTTTTTTAGAAGTTGAGATACTTTATGCATGGTTTCCCTTTTGTAAAACCATGCTGAATATCTGAGCAACAAAACACAACGGATTATGCAGCAGTATAAATAATGCAGACCTTGAGCGTTAATTGAAGCGCAAGGCAAGGCAGAATCGTGGCCTGAACTTTCAATTGCTACTTGCAAAAGTAATTCTAATTGACCTCAATGGGACTGTGCATGGGGGTTCAAATTACTCCTGTGAGTAAACACTACAAGGTTTGCTCCTTATCGCTCCAGCATGCCTGAAACAGCTTGCTTTAAATTGGAAGCGAGCTTTTCTTCAGAGCATTATCACTGAAGAAAATGAATGAAGAGATTTCAAAGAAGCTTAAAATCTTCCTTTAAGAGTATCTTTTTTATGCTGGCTAATATAATCCAGAACAAAATTTACACCACTGCACTTGTTTTCATAGGTGCTTAACATACATTAATCTTTTTTATTATTATTATTTTGATATGAAGCTGATCATCTTTCCCTTTCCGTTATTTAAGCCTCACCCTTTGACTGAGATATGGCTGGATGGTTCTTTCTTCAACATTCCCCTTCCTTGTCTGACTCTATTATGGAAAAACAAAACCGGAAGAATTAAGCATCTCCCAGTTGTGGTTTCCAATAGAAAATTAAAGTATTGCAAACAGATTACAGGGCCACAGGAGGCACATTGTGGGATATATGATGACAGCAGGGCTTTGAAATTCAAATGTAGCTCTTTTTCTTTGAAATCCTGCCATGGGTGTAGCTCTCTCAGCACTGCCCTGAAGCTGAAACAGCTGCTTTAGTTTCCTTTTACAGTGATTTACTAATCATTCAGCTGGAAGAAGAGGGGCTCAATTCTGTTATTTGGTAGGAAGTGAACAAAAGAGCACGCTGTACTTGGTAGTTTCCAGACCTGTTTTTGGTAATTCAGAATAATATAAAATCACAAGAATCTTAAGAACAGCACTTTCTATGATCGTGATAATTTTCTTTCTTGGATCCCCTGACAGTTTCAGTGTACTCGAGCATCCAGGGAACTTGCACTTAAATATTTAAGGTGGCAAAACTTCTGTCTTCTTCAGCAGTGAAAGTGACCTTTAACATAAAACTGAGCTACCCAGTTATTATTTGCTGTATTCTTTTGTCTTTTTTTTTTTCCTCCTATTGAGTTTGAGTGGATAATTTTGTTAAAGTCTCTTAATTTTTTTCTGAGTTTCCTTGAATAAGACTCTGTATACTAATTCCTCTGGGCCATCCAATGTATGCTGCCCTCATACTTGGGAAGTTTGGTGGTATCTGCCTCTAAAAACTTTATATTTCTTAATATTTTACTGCTATCCTGCAAAAATGCAGAACACATAGTTGCTTTTCTGGAAAATGTAGTTGTTTGTAATTTGAATAGCCAGTCCTACAGCTTTGACAAAGAAGTAGTAGAAAGCAAAGCTGCATCTCATTAACCAGCTGCAAAAGATTTTAGTCAGGTTTTAGTCAAGTGTTTGTTTTTTTTTAGTCAGGAAGGATGAAGAGTTAAACTATCAGACTAGCAAGAAAAAAAATCTCAACAAAACAAAACAAAAACCAAGACTAATGGCAACTGTATAAAGAACAGTAAGTATGTTGAGACAACTTAAAAGCCAGAAAGGTAACTACAGGATAGGTATTAAACTTCAAGCATAAAGCAGACTTCATGATATATGCACATACAGCATATACAATACAAAATTACATTATTTTCCTGTTTTTCTTGTATACTTACTACTTTTTAGTGAGGTGACAAACACCTCTCTGAAATGGTGCTTAATGTCAGCTCGCATAACTTACTTAACCAATGGAAACTTCTGGTTTTATATCTCAGGATAAAGATCTCAACTTATTTTTACTTAGGATTCCTGGAAAAGATACTTTGCTAAATATTTTTGTTTCAATACTTTCCCTTACTTTACCCTTTCGCCTCAAAAAAAAAAAAAAAAAAAAAGTGTACATACAGAGTGTACTCTGATGGCTTGTATATGGAAAATTAGAAGAACTTGTATAGAATGCTTTCTGTTAATACTTTACCCTAAAAGTGCACATTTTCCCCCTCCAGTTCAGTTTCAGATCTCTTGTATCCCAAACGTTTTGAATATATCTAACAAACGTTCTTGTTTGCCTGTTGCTGTTTCCTAGATTCTCACTGTGTAGAATTCTCCTCCACGTCCCAAACTCTGTGACACTTACTTTGATTAACACACTTAAATGTCTCCTGGAACTCCCAAAAGTTACAGTCATACATTCCACAGGCCAGACCAGACCCATATTTTAGAATAGATCATCTCTCACAAGGCAATAGGGTAGATTGTTTTTATAGTACTGTTTCATGAAAGAGGAAGGACAAATGTAGAAGAACCAGGTGTGATGTGATGTAGAGGCCATGCTGAGTACAAAAACAACTGACAACATGCTGCAGCATTCTCCAGCAAGTTCTACCCAAGCAAACTTGTGCTTCATACAGCAGCTATCTTGTCTCTGTCATACAGCATCGCCAGTCATAGCACTGCAACAATTCAGTGACTCAGTCAATGGCTCTGGGTAGCTTTTCTTACCACCAACTCTGGATTGCTTTTCTTACCCATACACAGAGAAACAGCTGTTTCACTGCCTCAGGGGTTCCTTTTCTTTGACACCGACTTTGTACAAGCTGTTTTCCAGGCAGTTGCTGATGCACCAAGTCAGCTTTGCTGCTGCTTTTTAGTGCTGAAGCCTGGAAGGCTCCAACATCCTCTAAGCTGCATATCCTGCAAAAGTGCTCTGAACACCCACAGAAGTGACGACTTGACCTTTTGTGTCAACTTTTCAATTCTTAGAAAAAACTAGTACTGCTCTGGGGCAGCAAATGAGAGATCCAGCAAATATGACTGCCACAGCAACACAATGGCAGAAATTATACCTCAGTAATATCCCTCAAAAGGGCATGGCACAGCTTTGCTGCTATGGCTCTGCCTCTGTAAGGATGCTACCCCAGGAGAGCACCAGACAGGATAACCAGGTATACATCCACAAATAGCACAAACGTGCTCTCAAACACTTGAAAGGCACATTTTGTTGTTCCATCTTGAGTAACCACTGTTTTTTAACCACTTAATTTATAATTTATTATAACCTGTCAGTCAAAAACTAAACAAATGCATGCTCTTCATTTATATAGATACATATACATTTTAAATGATATTGCTCATATTTCCTTATTCATCATCCTGTGAGGTAATTAAAAATCTTACTTGCTATGGGAACACCATTTGATAACCAGCTTATGCTAGGTTTTGGGTTGCCATTAGCTCTGCAGATCAATGACCCATCTTCTCCAGGAGATAAGACCAAGTTTCTGGGTGCTGTTATCCAGTATGGAGCAGCTGGGGTTAGGAAGAGAAACAGCAATCATTTTCCAAAATTACCATGATTACAGAAAATCATGAGGCACAGTCATGGTAACCATAAAATAATTCAAACAAGATATGTATAGGTATAGACATACAGTTGTGCAGTAAAATTTATTTCTGTATACATTATATTCAGTGATTAACTGGTAAATTACACTTTGGCTAAACTGAGCTATTGGCTACCTCCTGCATTGAATGGGGGATAGCTTTTCATTTTGAAATTCTAAGACAGTTGAAAATGCACAGAGATTGACATGGACAGAATACTGTCCACACCAAAAGATCTTCATCTATGTCACCTTTTTTATTATTGTTTTTTACAATAAATAACCACAAATAGTATATGTTGTCACATTTTGCAATTAAACTTCAGATTTTGGATTGATGGATAGAAGCAAACAGAAAACTCTTGAAAAGAAGGTTGAATATGACTATAGAGTGATAGTGGACTACAGTAATAGGTTTTTAGTATGCAAAGGGAGCACTACACTTGATTATTTAAATGACTAATTAGCTGTCATCCCTTTTTTTTGTTTGTTTCATGATATTCAAAATATTCTTACAGTTTCTATTTGGACAAACACATTTTAAATGTTTTTAAAACTAGTAAGACAGCACAGGTAAAAGACTCAGGAAACAAAAACATAAATGTTTATTAAGGGAGAAAAAAGAGTGTAAGATGAATAGAAAAATAGGGAAGAGAAAAAATCTGAGCTATATGAATGGAGAGCAGAAAAGACAGAAAATAAAAAGGAGATGAAGACAAGGGATGGGGAGGAAGGCAGAACAAGGAAGAACAAAGACTAATGACAATTAATCAAAGATATAAATTAAATGTATTACAGGTACAAGCTAAGAAATTATTTCACTGTTGTTACAATAAAGTCTCAATTTAGCCTGCTACTTGACAAAGCAACATAGTCAAGTCTGTCTGTCTGATGGCAGAATTCAGTTGATTTAATGATCCTCAGTTATTTTTTAATATTATCATTCATCCTTTCAGTTATAATTTATTATCCTGGTAAGCATACTTCAGTCTTGCATTCTGGACATCGACAATACTAAATTAACGATTATTTTAGTATTACCTTTCACAGTTACTGAAATGACATGATGAGTAGAACCTAATATATTTCTTGCTATGCATTTGTAGTTCCCAGAGTCAGCTTCAGAAACATCTATAATCTTGAGAGTTTTCTTAAAATTTTCAAAAAATGTTCTGTTGGCTGGCAATTCGCCACCTTCTTTAATCCAGCGAATTACTGGTGTGGGTCTGGAAAAGCAAAAGTACAGATCAAACTAATGGACCACTGAAAAGCAAGATGAGAGTTCTATATGTTAATGTTTTGAACATAAATTTTACACCAATTATTTTAAGAGCCTTTACTCAGATTTTGGGGCATGTCCAGCAAATGTGCAGGATATGCCAGCATTTGTTTCTAGGAAATGACAAGCCTCACTAACACTGTCAATGGCCATCTGTTCATAGGTTTAATAATTATGGAATACATTTGTCTCCTGATTAATCTAAAAACCTCAATGGTTAATAAATGAATACAAGTGTATTTTAAATCTTACTGTATTTATACTTTTAAATTGATGCTCATTCTGGTTTAAAAGGTAACTTCTAGATAATGATAAGATTACAACTGTCCTTCATTTGAGCAATATTGTAATGCTTCATGCACATCATAAATATTATAGCAGATCTGTAGGAGACAGAAATTTTTCCTATGACAAATCAAGAAAAAAATGACAGTACTGAGTCAAGTATAGCTACTTGTAATTGCATCCTGGTTGTGTCCCATGTTGGCTACTGAGGCTGAAAGTTGTCCAAACTCATGCAGACATACCTTTAAAATTACAGCAAATTAAAAGGTGTTGCTTTCTCAGTAGAATGTCCTCTCTCAAATCTTAATGATTCAGGGCAAATATTCATTTAGCAATCTAATATGAGAACAGGAACACCTAGCAAAATTTATTTTTAATTATGGTATCAGTAATTAGGAGTAGTTTCTTTAAATAAAAACTGAATCTGGTATCCTGATGAGAACTACGTAAGCTTCCCTCATTGAATTATTAAAATAGAAAAATACATGACATTTAAAGACAAATCCATATAATGGATAACATTTTATTTTTTCCCCGTTTTTATGCAGCGATTTTTCTAGAGTTTGGACCTCTGATTATTTTTATTGCAGGGTTGTTGAAAAGCATATTCTACTCCCCCACACAACTGTGATTATGCTAGTGGTGCTGATGCAAGGACACCTGAACAGACCACAGCTGAGGCAGAAACAGTGCACTGACCTTTGTATCAAGCTGTGTCAAGCTGTGCATGAGCATGCCCTGTGGAGCTTATGCAAGTGCATACATCTGCACGATGCCGTGCTGCATCATTTGCAATTACTGGCTTACCTCACTGCTACTTCAGAGTGCTCTGCCTTCTATGCTTTTGTGCATTGTCAACATGTTTATAGCTCCTGAAATAAATAGGTACTAAAGATTTTCTTCTTCCACACTAACCAATCTATTCTCTTTCTTCCTGAGAATGAAATTGATTTAAGATCAAACTAGTTCATGAAGTTAAATTGCTCTTTAGTCATTTTCTACTTGCACAATTATCAACAAAGACAAACACGCATTACATGGAAGAAACAAGTACCAATTAAACCCAATTACAATGAGAAGTTGGATGTAAGTAGCTGAAGGTATGTTCTAACAACTCCCACCTAGGTGATGCACTAAGTAATTAGCATATGTGAGCAGCTTTTTCAGATTATACCAGCAGATTCTTATCTATTTATATACTATTTGAGAGCTTAATGGCTATATAGTTAGGAAAAAAACAGAGACTCATTTCCCAAGTGCAATTCTGCAGACATGTGTCCAAGGTTATCCTATGACATTTCTTGCTTGTGTCCTGAAACAAAGGCCTTCTCATATGTTTAATACATGAGAAAAATATTTATGTTCATAGTCAGTTTTAAAATATTGTGATTTCCAAAATGGTGGACACTTCCTTAAAAGTCTTCTTTCTATTTTACATTTCTATTTCTTTAAAATACTTAAGCTTACATAGCAGTAACATTTTAGGCATCTCTGAAATGTTTCCCTCTGATTCTGCATTTTTATTTTGAAAAGCACGGTCTAAAAAGTAACTCACAATCCTGCTGCAATGCACTCCAACAAAAGGACATTTCCTCTGAGTTCCACTTTGTTACTTGTGGTACCAGTTGGTGTTAGAAGAATCGGTGGCCTCTCTGTAACTGGCTTGGCTGGAACAAGAAAAAATAAAATAATTAATTTCAATATTTTATTTTAATGTTGACCAAATTCATACATCCATTCTCACATTTTGGACAGAGATTTTGATGCACACAGGCCACTTAATTAAAAATTATCATGTTACACATACATATATATACATACATAGTTCAACAAATTAGGCTTTTGACAGACATAACATAATCATATCTCAACTTGTTTAATGCTAATTTTGAACACATACCTGAAAACATTTGTTATTGAAGAGGGGAAAAATTTGTTATGTAGTCCTTACATAAGCAACTATATATGGATGCATACTGAGTATAAGGTTACTTAGGTGAATGAGTGAAAGACTGAATGTTACCAAAAGCTTCCATCAAAACACAAATAAAGCAAAGTTATTAAATTCAAAAATATAATCCAAGGTGTCACATGGTATGCTCCACTTTGAAGTACACTTTGTTCAATATTTTCTAGACAATGTGAGACATCTCTGGAAATTTAACGTTGTCTTCTCCTCTCACTAAATACTTAAGTGTATTTCAAACTGTTCCCCAGTTTGGGAATAATGAACCACTGATTACCTGCAAGTTTACCGCAGTAAACAGAAAGCCATAAGACCTATTTCTGACACTATATTGTGACAGTTTCTGAAGTCTACTATGATATTTCATGTGCCTTCATGGAGATCAGAATAATAGCAGGCATCCTGTAAATGTTCTTTTATAGCAATTTTAAAATATAGGATCAACTTGCTCTAAAGCACAATAGAAATCTGAATCATTACAGTAAACTTTTTTCTTTTTTTTTTAATGTGGGAAGAAACAATAAACTACTTTATTAGTTAGTGGAATTTATTGATTGATTGACATAAACAGAACACAATTTTAATACAGTATGTACCATGAACTCCTTAAAAACTAACACCTGAACAACTTAAAGCTTGGAGAAAAGGGCAGTCTAGTGTGAAGAACACAGTCAACAGTTACAGGCAATTAGTAGACTACCCAGTTTCAGCACTGTCTCATTTTGCAAAACTATGAAAATCCACAGAATTATCTCTGGTATTTCTGAGTTGTAAGCCAGCTGAATGTTTTCTGTATTAACTGTAGTTAACACATTATTTTGTGTTCAGGTACATATTTCTTGTTTGTTCTAAGTGAGATCTTATTTTTATGCAGAGAATTAAAATATTCTGTGTCCCAATATACTTCAGATTATAGTAAATTACCATGTAATATATACAAAGACTAGCTTGACAGGGAAAAAGAGAAATCAGAACAAACATGTATTTTATAACTATTTCATGCAACATTAGGTAGTGAGACTAGATGCTCAACTGCTATGGTATGAATCTTACCCCAAAGTCAGCCTTGCTAAACACACATACACCTGCTTAGGAGAATTTCATTCACAATATACAAAAGACCATTCAACATATATTAATGAAAAGTCTCAAACACCAAACGAACAAAACACACCTTTCCCCTAAAAGGTTATTTATATAGACAGTATTAAAATGTTTAGATTTTAATTAATTCAGTTCAGCTCAACATTCATGAAATACATTAAAAATGAATGGTACATTCAAGGAATTAAATATGAAATGCGTTTGTTAAATGCTTAATTGTTGTTACTTATTATGCAGCATGTGATATTGAATAGTCCTAGTGATAATGAACAAATCAAACTGCTAGTAAAATTGGAGGAAAAATATAAACAAGCACAGTATAGGAGCAAATTGACAACTGGTAAAATCTGCATCAGTGTGAAAGGACTCTTATTTTAAGAGTTGGTATTTTTATGAAGCATATGTTACAATAACATTAGAACGTTAACTATTTGAAAGGATCACACTGTGCCATCCCTTTCTAAAGCATGTATTATCACCAGTACTAATAGATACCTTTATTAGAAATCAAAAAGGGAGCTAAAGGTTAAGTAGCCATGGAGGTAAAGTTAGTTAACTAAATGCTACTGTGAAACAGGGAGTATCAGTGGGGACCAGTATAACTCACCACCATAAATATCAGTGTCACTCAAATTAGCAGCTATAGTGTCATTCAATGAATCCACTGAAATAAACAGAATATCATGAAGAATGCATAAAAGAGGGATAAATCAAAGTATTGGGAATCACAAGATGATGATATGGCCACGGTGAGTTAATCAAGTGATTGATTAATTTATTTCAATAGTTACAGCAACAATATCTTGATATTATTGAGCATGAAAACCATTAAAAAATATTTTTTAACACTGTATTTTTTTCAATAATCCAAATCTTAGAAAACATTTTTTGTGAGACAAAACCTACTAAGGGGGGAAAAGACAGCTTTTTAACAGATATATACAGATATTTAAAACAGATATAGAAAGAAAACTGGAGATTACGTTTTAAGTTTTACAGAGCAATGCAATTGCTTCTTCAGAATTAAAACAACACAATTCCCTAGCATACAACTACTAAAGTTGCGCAAATCACCTGAGACTTCTGGATGAATACTATGCAAGTATGTAAGTATGTAATTAGGTAATGCAATACCTACTTGAAAAGACTTTTACAGAAATGGGTTGTTTCTGCTGTATAGTTTGTGTATGATTAAATCTTGCATAGCAGATATAGTCCTCACGGGTGTCTTCTGGTTGTACATTAGAAAAGTAAAGGTCTCCATTTAGACCTTGGGAAACTCTTTCACTCTGAGGCAGCCTTTGGAAAGCTGAGGAAAAACAAGAAAACATTTATTTCAACTATCATACATATTCCACTGTTATGATTTGCAGCCTTCACATTTATTCCATTACATCTTCTGTAGGTTTGTAAATATGTACCTTCAGAAGTTTCTTGCAGAGCTCCCTTATCCTACCATTCTTCCTCAGAATCTACAACTTACATTAAGCTCTACAGCTGCTTTTGAATTCATGCTTTTGGGCTGCATATCTGTTTGCTTATTCATTTCTACAGAACTGGAAATTCTTTGTACTCTTGGTAAGTAATGATCAACTATGTAGAAAAACTGTGAAAAGTAAACTACATCAAAAGAAACTCACCATTATCCATCCAAAATATTATAGGTGGTGGTAAGCCAACCGGAGGTCTGCAGTGTAATACTAGAGAATCACCTTCTCTAACCTGGTTTGGTTCTAGTTTTTCTTTAGTCCACAAAGGGGATCCTACAGAAAATAATTAAAAAAATTAGACCTTCCTGAAATAATATGTTCTGATAAAATTTATGAGAATGACAAATTTTAAGCTGAGGAGCTTGAAAAACTGTTCTGAGATTAAAATCACATAAAAAGCTGTAGAAGCAGTTTATCATTAATTAAAATTTTTGAGGTTTATCATCTTTTTGATTTCAATCTGTTCTGAATTAAAGCTATTATAACAACTATGGAACACAGTCATCAGAAAGATAGTTGGAATTGCCCTCAACAATTCTGTGCCTTAGTTTTAAATGGTTTATCCCAATTGTAATGTCATAAATACAAACCAATTTTAAACATCTCAGGTCATCAGATGTACTGACAAAAATTAGGAAAGCAATTTGGTTATTAAATATTCTAAGAAATTTTGGGAGACATGCAATATATTATCAATATCAGAAATTACACTTTCAATCACTTTAATGATGTATTTTTTTAAAGGGAAAAGAAGAAAATGAAGTAAAACATCCATAAGAAAACAAATACATCTATTTCACATTTTAGTTGGAGTTTCACTTACTAGAAGGCCTTATAACAATATTGTTGGAAATGGCTGCTCCTCGTTCATTTCTTGCTGTACACTGGTATACTCCTTCATATGCTTCTGCCTTCCCACCATTCATAATATTTATGACAAGGGTTCCTGAATTTGGTTTCATTGTTACCAGTTCATCTTTATCTATATCAAAATGAGTTCCATTGCGTGTCCAGGAGAAGCTAAATAATAAAAGCGAAAAGAGAAGTTGCTTCTGCAGTTGCCTTTTGTATACTATCTGGAGAAAACCATGAAAAAAGTCATTTTCAATAATACATGGTAATTATTCTTTAGCAGGTAAGTAAGAACTGTTCCCAAACTAAATTAATCAATAAAGTAAATAGAAAATTAAGAAATACTTTTTTAATATAAGAAATCTGCCAATAGTTTAAGATAAAAGGCTCGGCTGAACTTGTTAGCGGAATCCTTTTCAAAGTCAATATTTTTATTTTAAAAATTACAATAAAAGATGCAGATGTTAATCATACATGGAAAAGAACTGATTTATTTTCTGCTAAAGGTAATATAGTAACATCTGCTAGAACAGATATTCCTAAAGCTGCATAAGCATTTCCACTTTAAAACCTATTGTTGGAAGGTTTTATAAATCTGCTTTTAGAAACTTGTTCTGGGTTGAAATGCATCATCTTGGGTCCCAGCAGGAAATCATTTCTCATAATTGGTTTGGCCATTTTAAAGTTCAGCACATAAATTAAAGACTGCAGTGAGTTTGATTTCTTTTCGCTATTCTAACACAAAGAATTATGATGCATTAAATAAAACGTTGCAGTCTGATAGTCCATAATTAATCTAGTGGTTTTATACTGGTGCTAAAAGAAAGGATATTTTGAAAACTAGCCACTAGAAATAAGGAGTATTTGAGCTCATTTAAATAGTGTAAAAAGCAAATATTTGTAGTATCCAACTTATACTACTGTAAGCACCAATTCTTTAATTTTTAGTTATTTTTTTAAATTGTTGATTAAGATTTGTTAGTGGTCAAAAGCACAGTTATACAGAGCTAAACCAATGCCTGGGACGTTTTGAGCACTCAGTTTTGAATACTGTGAAAAGCAGTTTCTGTACTTGTTACAATTCTGCTTCATAAACTTCAACACAAACACTGTATATGCTTACAGGTTAGAATGCTACCTGGAAATATCAATACGTATATGGTACTGGAAAAGATCAAATTTTAATTGACTTAGATTATGCCCTGACCTCCTGCAGCTGGACAGCAGGACAGGATCAGACATGCTATTTGCACTTTGTGGTGTGAGAGAACAGAAGAACTGGACCTGACCAGCTGCCTCGCACTGCAGTGGTAGTGGTTTTGGGAGGACCTGTGTGCACAGTGGTCGAATAGTGAAACTCTTTCTGAGGGCTTTGCAGGTAAAGTTGCAGAATGTGGGGTTTCTGTAGTCCTCAGCTACCAGTAACACTGTGAAGAGTGTGTGGAACTGTCATGTAGCTTCACATGAGAGGTGACAAACCCCTGAACTTCAGATACATAAAAGTCAGAACCTTTGCTGCTCAAGTGCTAGGTAGCAGAACATCCATAAACCTTTATGCCAGCTTTGTGCCATAATGCCATGGCATTATGCATGTCAAATTAAAATGCTCATAAAAAGAGCAACATTATGATACTCCTATTATATATTTTAAAAAAAAAAGCACTAAAAAGAATCACAGAAAATCTCCATCTTCACCATTCCACTTCTGCTTCACCATTCAGCATGATAATGACCATGATCCTAAGGCAACCAGAAAGAATAATGTAGAAAAACATCAGTTATTCATACAAAGTATATTTAATGAGCTTGGTATGTGTCTGAGGAGCAATTATAGACTGACACTGCTAATAAACTGTAGCGTAACACTACTGAGAACACAGTGATGCACATTTCTGTTTACAGTCTTGGAAATCAGAAGCAGTTGCTGGCAATGACAGAATGCACCACTGCTACTGAGATTCCAGTGCCGATATTCAGCAAAAATATTTGGAAGCTCCTCATTTCAAGATACTGAAGCAGGGTCTTAAAATAGAAGATGATCAGGAATCCAAACTATACACAGCATTGCCATTTTTGCTAAAAACAAAAGGCTTGCAAATACACCTGATAAATCAAGGCTGCTGATCATTTAGCCATAGACTGATACACTGATACTGGACTCCCAACAAAATACGTACATATTTCAAGACAAACTTCATAAAACTGAGTATTTTTAAAAGACACTGAATTTGAATTTACTCATGTACTTTGAATTTATTCAATGCACATTCTTCTTAGACACTATGCCTAAATCTGAAATGTGCTCCAACTCAGTAGGGCATGCCTTTCAGTGCTTTCCATAGATACTTACCTATCTGCTCCTTTACCAACCTACTATTATTTTGTTGCTAGGTCTTTGAGAAGAAAAAAAAATACTAGTTACTTGCTGACTACAGAAAAGTTTAAATCTCAAGGATAAGCATAGTCAAATATATATATATATATATGCCACTTCCTGGCAGCTGTTTACATTTCAACAGTAGGAGTGCATGCATGTTTCTGTGTCTGAAAGCATACATATAAGAAAATACATGTTAGTTTACAAAATTTACATTATTTTCTCCTAGTTTTCTTATGTTATTAGGCCAACATAAGCAAAATAAGAACTTACTGACCTAGGAGGTGGTTTTCCTTTTGCTTCACACTGTATTACAATATTCTCTCGAGGGTCAACGATATAATCTTTTGGAGATTGCTGAGTTATCGTTGGAGGCTGGGACACTTCATTGTGGAATATAAGAAACAGAGAGGAATTTAACAATATCTTCAAAGCATCAGCAAGACAGTTACGTAAATGGAGAAAGCAGAACTACAATTAGCAGAAAAATTATCAACAAAAGACTGGGATTAAAGTATATTTTGTATTTGGAGGCTGAACCCCTCTACTCCTGTAGATCAGTGTAGCTATATAACTTACAAGTGAGCTATGTCAGTTTACAGTGGAGGAAGATCTTGGTCAAGAAGCTTATTGGATATCATTTCTATACAGCAGATTTCAGTAGACCTTCATGAAGCCAAAGGACACTTGAATTCTAAGTCTAGCATATCTCAAATGAACAGTTGTGAGATATAAATCCACACAAAACATTTTTAACACACAGAAGGAAAAATATATATTACTTTTTACTTCTAAAGATTTGATGTACTTCCATATTCTCTGTGGTTGTAAACTTTTCAGAAATTTATCATGCTCAACATACTGAATTAATCTACAAAGCATGCTTTTAGGAGCTACTTTTCAGGAGTAAAAAATGTTAGAAGTAAAAGATGACAAAAAATAGTAACTAAGAGTTTCCAAATAGAGTAAATATATAGGAAAAGTCTAGTACCGATTCTCCTAAAATAACAAAAATATAATTAATCTTGTGAATTGCCCCAGGAGAAACAAACATTTAAATTTGATTTATCAAGCATTCTGGAATTACTAGCATAAAATAGAATTTATTTGCCTGATAACGTGGATGGTGCCTACCTATTTAAAGTAATTTATAACCTATTGCATTATCTATGCACATTTTTCATAGATAAATCCTGTTTATGATAATAAGATAATGAGAAATGTGTCTTCCTCAGCATTATCAATCTGGTTATAGTTTAGTGCCAACTAAAAGAACTAGTTTAATAACAACCTCGTGAAAATGCCTGTGCAAATATTGTAAATTGTCCAGTATTACACTCTGCTACTACTTGGGGTCGCTCCTAGCCAAAGCATTTCAATCATTAGTTATCTGTGTTCCCATGTCTCACTCTAGCTAGTTAAAATTGTAAAACTGGGATTTTTAGGTTAAGTCTTCCCTCCCATTATACATGAAGTAAGGATTCTGAAGGCAGAGGTAGTGGTCTACAAAGCACTCCCCTCAAGAAATGGCCAGAAAAAAAATTAATATCATGGCATTGCAATGAGATATAACAGCTGAGCAGGAAAGAACAGGCAATGTAGAGCTAGCTTTTGCTCTTCTTCCTCACTGCAGAAAGGAGAGTGATTAAAAAATGAAAGCAACATTGCTACATGATGAGGACTTTTTGTGTATTTAGAGAAGCTGTGATAGTCCTTCTCCCTTTCAGAAGCAGTTCACAGGGTCAGTACAAATCAGATGCTTCCTTGGGAAAAGCAAGCATACTCTGAAAAGGGACATGACATGAGCAATGTACCACATACAGTATATTCCTCGCATGCACATCAATGACCTCAAGGCTATGCACTGAACTTAAAACTCATTAAATTAACCATGATACTAAAGCTGTGTTAGAAGATCCCATAAAATATTAGGTATGTTTAAATAACTGTATACACTCTTTTTAAGGACATAAAAATATGTCCAACTCAGACATGTAAAATAGCATATATTTTACATGTGCTACATATATTCCAATGAATTTTTTATCAAGTATATTTACTCCTGAAAGTATTAGTTAAAAACAAAACAAAACACTGCTCATGCTGATACTAAGAATTTTAATGTTCAGATAGCATACAATCAAAAATCATATCACTCATTTGATCAAAATACCAGAAAGTTTTATGTACAGTAGAGCTTTCGGAACACTGCATGCACAAAGCATCTAGCCACAGCAAAACAAAATTAAAAAAAAAAAAAAAAAAAGACAATCACACATTTTGTACTGCAACACAATCAGTATTAATTTTCAGCAGCACACAGTCTAGTTTTTGTGGACAGGAACTTACATTCTTCTAGAAGTTTTGCTTTTATTCCCCCATCAGAATCAGCAGGTGAATGGAAAATGGAGATTAAAGAGAAACATTTGTTAGTTAAAAGAAAATTAGCATTTTTGAGAGGGAAGATAAGTATGTCTGAAAAGTGCATTGGACCCCATGAATAAGAAAACTGCAAGTATCGTAACCTGGGCCATGATGCCTTAAATTCCAGCAACGATTTCTGTGGTGTCAGAAATTACTACAATTATCTCAAAGTTCATGGCATAAGGACCTTTTCTAAAGTGTTGGCTTTTTAAGGGCAAGTGTGGTATGTGATTTTGGCCTTCCAAGGACACAAACCACTGATACTGAGGAGAGAGGAAATTAGAATTAATGGAGTGCGTTGCCCTCATGCTGCAATCAAAATCAATCTCCCCATATGACCAAACGGAAGAACAAAGAGAAAGCTTCAGGCTAGAATTACTCTTACAAAAACAAAAGCATTTAATTCTACTCAACAGACACGCAATCCCTTTTAGTTTGAAAAATAACTAAAAGGAAAAAGTCATTTTGGATTTTACATCTTCATTGCTTCAGATATTTTGCATGTATCTCTCTTCATCATTAATATTTCAGAGAAAGTAAACTGCTTTTGGTTAGCTACACTGTCAGTCATCACTTACCTACAGCAAGACACTGAACATCATAAAGACTGCTAACCCGGATGAAACCTAGGGTCCAAATAATCAAGTATTTTCTTACCACTGGGTTTCTGTGGTAGATGTGTGGGGAAGACCCACAGAAAACACAACACAGGCTTTCTCTTGTGGTGCTCTCCCAGATGTCATTCTAACCATTATATATGGAAACACTAACATAATTAGAGACATAATTTCAGTTAATATAATCTTTGGCTAAAAATTGAAATGTGTGACTTTATCAGATCTAACACAGCTACTAAACATTATGTAGTACAGACCATGTTAATTGAGGGTTAATGTGATACATCTAAAAGGGCTACTCATTTTTGTCTGCTAATGCATTCCCAGTTAATTTAAGCTGAGGTGCTACTCTGCACAGGAGATATTAGAATGATGCACAATTTACATTAGTTTCTAAACTACAAGGTGTTAAAACAATATTTCTAGCCTGCAAAAACATTTGTGGAGAAAAATTAAGTTTAGAAAATTAAGACTTCTGTTCATCATACTTTTAAAGCCCTCTATAAACCACAATTTAATGTTGTAAAGGCATTTACAGTGCTACAAGTCTCTTGTCATTTATATATATTGATCTTGTCACAGAAATAAAGGTCATTGGTTTGAGAGGCTTGGAAATATGTATGGGGGGAAAACACACTGAAGCAGTTGCACTTCGTGTCAATGATTATTAAAGAAAAACATGCATTTATGGAAGGGAGGAAGGTATCAAAAACACAGGGGTAAGGAAAGCCATGAGGATCAGAATCCTAGGTGAATTTACTGATGTATTAATTCATCAGTTTAATGCCAGCCCTGATGTACTTTTCTCTGGTAATTGATCTAACAAATGAATAGTCAATGTGAGGTGCAACGCGGTTCACTGAATTCTGAAAATGTGATCATGTGTGTATTAAGAAGAAAATAACAACCTGAAGCATGAATAAATTCACAGTATTAGCTATTAGGGCTATAAAATACAGCAGTTACCATTGCTTACTTTCCCCCTTCTTTTCTCCCACTATCACAGTCTAGAATAAGACACAAAAATTTCATATCCTGGGATTTCACCCCTTCTAGATGTTTCCTGACTGGTTAAAGCTAGAGTTCCCTGATCAGCACACATGCTCTTATGTAAAAGTTAGGTACTTAATTCTTTTCAGGCAATGTTTAGGAAATCTAAGAGCTTAATTTACTCTTCTGGATCAAAAAGCAAGATGCTTCAACAGTGTGGGTATTAGAATCTTTTACTGGATCTCATATCATCTCCTGGAAACCTTTTATGAAGAAGGTAAGTGTGATTGTTTCACAGCAAATAGGAGCTGTCCCGTTCTTTATTATTATTATTATTATTATTATTATTATTATTATTATTACTTTTTCTTTTATTTCTTTTAGCAAATTCACACATAATCACAGAATGGCTGAGGTTGGAAGGGACCACTGGAGGCCATCTGGTCCAACCCCACTGCTCGAGCAGGGACACCCAGAGCGGGTTACCCAGGAGCATGGCTTTTGAAGATTTCCAAGGAGGAAGAATCCACAATTTCTTTGGGCAGCCTGTTCCAGCGCTCTCTGTCACCTGTTCAGTAAAGAAGTGCTTCCTGATGCTCAGACAGAATCTCTTGTGCTCCAGTTTTGTTTCTAGTGCCTCTTGTTCTGGTACTGGGCATCACTGAAAAGAGCAGGGCTCCACCCTTTTTGCACCCTCTCTTTAGGTCAATTGAAATTGCCAATCTGATCTTAGTTTCACAGATAATTAGCGTTTAGCTGGGCTTCTCTGTCCCTCTTCATTTTGATCGACTAAAGCGTTCAATAAAGACACATTACAGTGGTGTATTTGAGAATCCTCTGTTAACCTTTCTCCAGTGAATCATGTAAGATATTTTATATGCAGTTTTTGAAAACCTTCAGTAAATATTCATAATCATAATGTCCTGACTGAATTGAGCAAACACACTCCATGTTCAGTTCCATGTCGGAGCTATCTTCATCCTCCTATACTCAAATTATTTAACTAATCTTCCATCATTCTGCATTTTTTTAGCAAGTTAATACTTACAGTCAAGAGGTACATCCAATGCAGAAATCATTTGGCACAGAAAGAAAAACAGTGAAGCTTTGCTTGCAGATATGCTCTTCTTTTTCATCATGATTTTAGGCTGTGTTAAGTCACGCTTGAAGAATGAAGTCCAACTTCATCAGACTAGGTAGCTTGGAACAGTTATGTAAATACAGACAAGAAACCTGGTAGATAAAATAAGAGAATAACAACATGTAGAGTTATGGAGAGTTGAATGATTTTATGGAGAGTTGAATGATTTTATGTTAGTTAACATGAAATACCATCAGTCTACTTATTATACCCATGGATCCTGGCTACACCATGTGCTCTACTGAAATCCAAGCAGACATCCAGAAGTTCCTAGGACACCTAGATCAGAATACTTGCAGGAACTCCTAAGGAAGATAGCGAACGCTGATACCTTTGTTGAGTAGCAATACAAATGTCTTTTCTAAGAAGGATAAATCTTCAGCCCCAGTTAAAAAACAGCACATTCTAAAGATAATGGTGACCTGAAATAGATTTTGGTAGATTAAAACTCTGAATGCCCACCTCGTTTCTCTTTCTAATACCCTGAATAGGTCTTTGAAGGAGTTATTTTAGGTGACTACTCTAATGAAAACATCTCTGGCCACAGATTTGCTAAGTAAAGTGTGAGATCTAAGTTAGACAACTTAGTTCTCCCCTTTTTGAACTGTTTCTGAGACAGCTATAGACTGAATACAGAAGACTTTATGGATTGCCATGCTGAGGTGCTGGCTTATATACTATATAGGAACCTAGGCTCCTACCCCTGGATTTCTGATTCCAGCCCAAATAGGTAATATAAAAATACTTGTCATATCTAGCATGAATGACAAAATCTAATTAACTATGAGCACATTATGAAACTCTCTTCTTTCCTATGTGAGGAGGTGGCAGAAATGAAAATCCAGGGAAATCTTTTTTGAAATGGACTAAGTCTTTCTCCTCAACCAAGCATGAACAACCATATTAAACCAAGGCAGAAGAATGATTCTTATTTCCTTCTTACTTTCACTGCATTCAGTACCATGTTCTAACTTAGAAGAACGTTGAAGGATTGAAAACTAGCTGCTGGTGAGCACCATCATCATCGGTGACCTACAAAGAGCTGTAAGAATACAGCCTTAGAAATCCAAATGTTGCTTACCTAACAGCAGTAATTGGACATCAACTGAGAAAGCACTTTTCATATGCCAGACTGACCAGAAAGTTCACAGCGATCAGCAAGAACTTATCTTGAAGAGAGCATTTCCCAAGCTATGCATATAAATGGAAACCACAATGCTATCAAGTCTACAAGAAGCAAAAGTTGCAGAGAAGCAGCTGCCTGACAAATACTAATGCAATTCCTGAAGCTGATTTATTGATTCCTGAAGTTACTTAAACCAGTCTATGCAAAGAATTTGCCCTAATCTTCAATTTACAGAAAAAAAGAAAAAAAAAAAGGTGTCTGCTTTGCTGCCATAAATGGGCTTTCTCGTTGTATGGTCTTCTGATCAGAGACTGGAATGGGAAAACAAAACTGAGGTGTAGAGTTCAACCTCTGCTGACCTAGCACATCAAACTCTCTGATTCTTACTGTCACACCAGGGTTTGTTTTGAGATCAAAACATCCCAGCAGGTTAAACTCCTAGACCCACATTGCTCCCTTAAGCTCTCGGGAACTGCTGACTAGGGCGCCATGTGAGAGGGCAAATTGCTTGTTCACATTCAAAGCTATCTACACTATGGCACACCGTAACAAAACAACTAAGCGTTTGTCATGGCTGATGGAGTGATAAGAAAACTCATCGGAAGCAAGAACAACTAAGCTCTAGCCCTTGCATAATTATTTATACAAACTGGAACTGCATGAGCAGAGAAGGTGGTCAGCCTAACCCCAAACTACCTGGTAAATGGTTGAGCACCCTAAAATGCTGGAGCTTTTTACTGGGGTAAGGAAGAAACACTTCTGCCATCCCATTTTTTTGGCACAAAAGCTATCTGGTGGGTGTCCTCTGTTCCCTCTGCAGTCAGTAAGCTGAAGAAAGGCTTCTCTTGAGAATGATGCAGAGCACTCCAGGACGTTCCCTGCACTGAAGTGCTCTCCAGAAGAGCTGACTTCATCCCATTGACTACAGCTGTCTGCTTTTCTTTGGCTAGGTTTTCACAAACTGCCCTCCTGATCTTTATGTGACCACTTCATTACCTCACTGCAAGTTCAGCTCTGAACTATGCATCTGTATTTACAAGCTGCTCTCTCTGTACAAGGTGTTTGACCCGGGATTTAGAGGACACTCTTTGTGCTGTTTGACAAGTGGACCAAGACTTTTACTGTTTCTTCTCCAAGCAAAATGTCAGTTCTCTTTAAGAAACTCTGAGAACCTGATTATTCACTTCAATGTCTTGTTCTTTCATTGTGTAAATTGACTACTGCAGTAATTTGAGAGTATTTTAGAATTAGCTGCATTCCCTTTGAACAAGTGCAAATGAATATGCAAACTCTGGTGAATTGGGCATGTGCAATTAAAATGATTGTGAAAATAATACCCTTGAGAAAATGCCTCACCATGTCTACCGCAGCTATTGCAACATTCCAGTAAGGCACCTCCTGAGTCCACTGCTGCGATGCCTGGGCGTGATTCAGGATTCAGCAGGCGGGAATTACAAAGCTGAGCCCGCACACCGCCTTGTCATTCTGCACAGAGGCAACGTGCCCGGATGATTTGTGATAGAACATATTCAACTGAGAATGATTTTAGGTTCGTCAGCACAACTGCACACTCTCGTTGAACGTATTCCTGATTACATCTGACATAATTCAGTATGAATGCAACAGCTGCTGACTGGAACTAAACGCTGTTTTGACATAATATTATCTGATACAAAGTACGGCCAGACTTCTAAATGCAGATCAATGTAAATGCTTCAATTTCAAAACCTGAAATATTTATACACCAGACTACATTTTCCTCAAGCTACTTTACCTAATAATTTTCATAAAACTCAGATATTTTGTCTTTCCTTTTTCACAGGAAAACACACAGATTTTGACAGCTCATGTGGGATTCTATTCACTGATTTGTACAAAATAAGATTCCCTGTGCTGACATACCTCTTACGTACATAAAATATCAGTTATGCCTCCTATGCTTCACGCTGAGATGCTCATTGTTAGTAAAAACATGGACTACAAATTGAAGCCAACATGGTGTAGCCAACAGGAGTCAAGGTAAATATGAATACATAAGCAAAGTATAATAATATTTCATCACAAAGTGTAATATCAGATCTCAAAGGGACAGCTTTTTATGTATTAGAAAGGAGCTGGCATCAAGTAAGAGACATTTAATTCCCCAACACCCCCCTTTAAAAACAAATAAATAAATAAAAAGGACACGATTACTTTTCAAGGAGGGGCTACAGAAAGACAATGACTGGGAGCATGGAAGCACCCACGAGCCTGAGGTAGAACATTTGGCAGCAGCACAAAACACAGCTTGGTGCCAGTGACCTCTTTGCTGTGACTCACACGTCTGGACACTTTTGATCAGAAAAAAAAAGGACAGAATGACAAAAACAGATGCTCTGAAAACACTGAAGGAGCTAGGAAAAACAGCACTCATACGGAAGGGAGGCAGAATCTCAGTCTTCTTTTCATACTGTAAATGACATTGGCTGGGAACCTTCTCCTTAGTTTAAGAGCAAATGAGATGTCACAGCTTACATCCCTTCCCCTTCAAAGGAAGCCCCCATACCACCTACACCATGGCAGCAGTCACTGAACCGTGCAATGCCCTGAATCACACCCAGGCACCGGCTGGCAGAGTGCAATGGTTGGCTCATGTCAAAATCTGCCCAAGAGAGTGGTAACAACTGAACAGTGCATGATCATGAAATGCACACAGTATGCTGCACTTTACAACAGTATACTGCTACTAAGTAGCACTAATTACTAATTAGGATAATAATACAGACACACTCTCGGTGGACATCTTAAAGTTTAATCAATTAAGGCACAGCTGACAGAGGGCACATCCTTCTCCTGTAGCTCCAACAGGGGTGGAACATACTTACATTGTGTTTCACAAGAGCACGCTGCATCCTTGATTTCCTCGTAACTGCAGCCACAATATCCTTCAAGAGGATGTAAGAGGTGCAAGGGAGTGTATTTACTGAAATTCCACCTCGTGCAATGAATGCATTTTTAGGCATAACATTGATCTACAGAGTTTTGATACAACTGATTGTGCATTTTTCTATTAAATTAGATTATACTAAAACACAAAGATCTGTATGAATGTCATTTCCTCTGCTTCATTGGTCTAACACCTGTATTTTTTCTCACAGAGAGTATACAGCAAAAATAAAGAGTTTTCAAGGGAAACAGTTTCAAGGCCACCTAATATAAAGCTCTATAGAAACATGAACAGCAATTTCAAATTAGGTAAATGGATTTAATGATTTGTACATAAAAAAAAGTGTTGATAATATGCATATTTTATTTAGATAATATTTTTAATGGAAAAAAGCACAAAGAAGTGACTGCTTTTGATAACTGCAATTCCCTCACCAAATTCCTACCTTTGTAGGGCTTATGTATCTTATACAATTATGTTACCAGTGAAGTAATAACAATATGACTTAAAATTTTAGAGAAAACTAATTTCAAATTTCTAGCTAGATGTTCTTAAACTACCCACTGTATGATGCATAGCTCTGGGGTGACAGAATACAGGAGTACACATAAAAAATTACAAAACTTTCTAAAATACACCAAATTAGAAACACTACTTTGATTTCCTCCAAAATAACCATTTTTCACAGTCTAATGTAGATACACCATTTAAAGTCATAAAGGAATATTAAATTATCTTACCTGACCTCCTGTTCACCAAGCTTATGCCCGTTATTTCCCCTGCTGCTTCACCTTCCCTTTCTCCTCCACCTCCCAGTTCTCCTCCAGGCTACTTAAAATAGCTCTTAAGAATTCTGAATATCCTTGGGATGTTCAAACCAACATGTTTCTATTGCTATGCCTCCTGAATGCATTTCAGGTTTTAAACAACTATTTAAGAATACCACCCCGAGATCTGCCCCAGTGCTGAATAATTATGAGTGGCAGGGAGTGTGGGACAGTATGGGCAGGCACCCAGGACAGTGGGCACCTCCAACGTTT